CGCCAGTGAATCTTGTACGCGGCATAGGCGAGGCCGCCGGCCGTCGCGAGGCGAATGAAGCGGACCACGCGAACCGGGACGCGGTCCATGTCCGCCTCGGTGCGGGTTGCTTTGGCGATTGCGGACGCCATTTCTGAGAGTTTTTTCCCGTGATCTCTCCTGCTCAGGGAGTCTTGCGGTGCGGTCGCGGTGAGGGCGGTGGCGGCGGCGCTCGCTTCTTATCGTCGGACTTGGTGCTCGGGAAGACGAGCTGGCGGGCTGCGCCGAGGAGGAGGACGACGAGGACGACGGTCCAGAGGGGTAGCGAGCGGATGATGCACCAGAGTGTGCTGGAGCATTGAGCGAGGACGGAGGAAGGGGGAGACATATGGTGGTGGTGGGTGGGCTCGCTACTTTTTTAATCTGGTAAATTATCTTTTTTGCTGGGTGGTCCTGCTGCGATGCGCTAAAGATAGTGTTACCCAGGCCTTTGGTGCCGATATTGAAAGGTCCACTTTGCGTGTGCTGTCTTGTCCCCCCCAACGGGGTTGCGGTTGTGTGTGTTTGCGTTGGGACGGGATGCGGTGACGATACCGGGACAGGGATGAGGAAAAGCACCCTTCCCAGGCGTGGGGGTCCACCCGCGGACGGGGTTCGGCGTTTAATCGCTGCGTGCCTGCCCAAACCAAGTGGTGTTTTTTTTAGTGAGCAAGCTACGCTGGACCTCGGCTCAGAATAAATTAGCCTTCTGAAAAGTTGGCGCGACGCGATTTACTTTTTTTTGGCGCGACGGGATGGCAAGACACTTTGTAGTGGTCTTGGCTGGATGAGCGGGCTCGGATCTGTGCCAACGCAGGGACGGAGGGATTTTTGATGCTTCCAATGTCGGATGCCTCGGTTGTTGGGGTGTGTTGGGTTGCATGGTTAGGTCGTATTGAGATTGACGGACGCGTTTTGCTCGATCGCGTCGTTCACACCGCCAGCACGGCCTAGATGAAACAGGACCTACTAAGTAAGTAACTATTTGACATGTCAAATATAAGAACAGTTTGATGCTTCATCAAAATGGAGAACGTGGCTATTTCCAGTTCGGACAAAGCCATCATCAAAGGCTGTATCGGGTCTGGATCGCGTCGACCGGGTTTGCTACGGAGTCTGTGTGGGTCGTCCGGGGCCATCCGCGGAACCCGGTCGGACCCTGGCCCGGAAGAGGTCCCGTCTGACCTGCGTTTCCCGGCCTGGCACCGGGCCAAACAAATCTCAGTGCAACCACACCCATGGCGAGTGGTGGCATTATTTTTCATGGCGCTTTGGTTTACTTAGACTACTAAGATTACTTTACAATTTGATTTGACTTTCAACACCAACTGCAGACCACATATCACAGAAATGGCAAGGGCGACATTAGTTGAGGTAGGATTGACTAACATCGAAACAAATGGCTCAGTGCGACCTTTCACGGTCAAACTTTTGACATATTCAATATTTTCCAAAAGTTTCATCTATTTTAGCACTAGATTAAGTAGCCTGAGTCGAACATACCAGAGAGTGATTTGGTACAAATGGTTGCTGTAGCCTGCCTAGCTTTGAGAAGAAGGGTAACAGGGAAAACTTTTGACCGATGCTGAGACTGAAGGACTACAAGCACCACATCCTGTCCTTTTCTTTTGATAATGAACATGCTTCATTCATCATCTATACTTAGGTTTGTAGACTACGGTGCCCGATTTTGTGTCTTTCAGAGCACGGTTTACTTAGCCTAAAAACCTTGCTAACTGGCTACACAGGTATCGACGAAACCATGTGTGCAGAGGATGTGCCTCACAAGATGACTTTTATTTCAGTGTCCCTGGTGGTTGATATCCGTGGTAAGGAAGCCAAATCAATGTGTATTCTGATTCAAATTTTTGACAATGTCTCCCAAGACAAAGAGGACACCTTGAAAGCGCAAATTTGTCAATCTTCCGTCAAACAACTTGAAATCGGGTCGAGGCCGGTATAATGGACATGATACAACCAAAGAATTAAGCAAGACTTCTATAAAATAGTGACAGGATGCCTGTCTAGTGTTCGATAAGTATAAAATAGTTATTTTGCGACCATCAGTCCTTCGTCTAGTCTGGCACAAACATGCTTCCGATTCTCTCGGTCCACCCCAACCGTTTCCCTTCTTCTACCATGTCGAACTCGGTGCTTGCAACTCCGAAGAACATCTCGTTTCTTGTTATATTTGCACTGATCTTTTTGCCCTTGGTCAGTGCTGTCGCGTGCAGCGCCCGCTGCCCACGATTATTGCGAGAGTGCATAGAGGGCTGCGTTTACGATGGGGGAAATCGTATCCTCTGCAATGGCACATGTCACAACATAATGGTACGTTCCCGTCCAGTGGCCAAACCAAGCTCCACTTAGCTGACTATGCCATACTAATGAGGTCGACTGTGTTCATAAATGCGAGGAAACTTATTGATATTCGGGTTTCAACGAAATGCATCACTTTTGGTTCTGCTTACATTGCACTGTCTCTAGTGGAAAGTTGAAGGTTGAAGAAGAGCGTGTCGAAGTTGAAAGTGGAACTCAAAAGAATCGTCATCGACAGAACGTATAAGACGAAAAGAAACATTACGTTATGATTAGACTGCAGTTGAATCTAAGAGAGACATATCAGGCTAGATAGCCGAACTTGAACGAGTGACTTTTTCCACCAAACATTTCCCAACCCTTTCCAGATCATTACCACCCTTCCAACTCAAAGAAAAGGAAAATCTTAATACACCCCACCAGATCAAGCAGGGGGCAGCGGCTTGATCTCGGAGAGAGGCGCGCAGGGCCACGAAGGGTTCTGCTCGGGCTTGCCGTGCACGACGTTGCCGACAATGGTGTAAATGTTCTGGCACAAGGTCATGTTGACGAAGCCAGGGCTGCGGTTGCCCTGGTCGGACCACAGCTTGGCCTGGGCCTGGGGCGAAACGTCGGTGTAGTTGGGCTGATAGACGTTGTTCTTGTAGCCGCCCTCGACCCAGCCACCGTAAGCGGCGGCGACGATGTCCTCCTTCGTGACGCCGCCGTAGCGGGAGCCGTCCATGGTCTCCGTGCCGAAGAGCGCCGTCAGGGGCCAGTGCTTGCTCTTGAAGATGTTGGGGCGGATGGAGGGGTACTCGGTGGTCAGCTTGACGCCCTCACTCCTGATGTCGACGAGGTAGAAGAGTCTGTCTTCGTAGCAGGCGGCGGCTCTGGCGTGGTCGCTGTCAGGCAGGAAGGGCCAGAGGGAAGAGTCTCTCTCGCCAGTGGCCATCTTGCAAGGCAGGTTGGTCTTCCTGTGGAAATTTGTAAGAAGGTGACGCAAAGGCGTTGTTTGGTGTGTGCGACTTACAGGACGAAGGGTCTCTTGGACCACTTGCGAGTCTGCCAGATAGACACCATGAAGCGGGGGTAGAACAGCTTCTGAACCATCCTGGACATCTCGTAGGCGTTGAGGTCATCCGGGGTGGCACCCATGAGGCCGTTGTCCAGAGCCGCGATGAGGAAGTTCTCGGTCTCTGTGTTGTTGGGAGAGAAGATGTTGTCGACGTAGGCGGTCTGGGTGGCCTTCCAGCTGTCGAAGACGTCACCCATCATGGCACCGAGAGAGCCGTACTGGACCTTGGGGTCCTTGCCTCTGTTTGCCGAGTCTGATTAGCAACATTTCCTAGAAAGGTCTAAAGGAAGGCCGTCACTTACGGAAGCATGTAGTCCTTTCCGATGGCCCAACCAGTGAAGATACTGTAACTGAGAGTGGTCGTCAACTGCGAACGCCAGACCTGAGAGATCATCTGTCCAGCGGCTTGCTCGACAGGCTTTGCAAAGATGACTGCGCACTCAAGTCAGACACATGAATCGTCAAGTGTGGGTTAGCTCTGTGGGGCTGCGAACTTACAAAAGTTGTTCATGTAGGCCTGTGCAATACCAATCACACCGTAAGCAACGTTGAGGAGAATTCTCTTGGTCTGGTCCTTGGACTCGTCCCTGGGAGGTGGCACGGAGAAAGACTCGGCAAAAAGGTCCATTTCGGACTGAATGTCCTGCTGGGCCAGACTGAGAGCCTCAAAGTAGCGGTGGTGGAACTGTTGATATGTTTGTCAGTATGTAACCAGAAGGAGGAAAGTTACAAGAAAGAGGAGTAGGAAGGAAATGTGCAACTAACCCGGTGAAGCTTGGAGAACGAGTTGAGGATGAGATGTCCAGCGGGATACTTGGTATCCTCACAAACGAGCGTGGTCGAGCAAGGCACGTCGAAGATCTCCTTGCAGTGCCATTCCTCCGGACCGCCAAAGTACCAAGAAACGAACTCGCTGAACTGGAACTTGACTTCGTCAGGTCCGGTGGTGTAGTTGCGCCACGCAGCGAAGACCTCTTGGAGGGCATCCGATGCACCAGCCGCCTCCCATCGCTTGTCGGGCAACGCCTTCGCATCGACAATGACACCGCTGCAGTTGACTGCTCTCCAGTCAACCTTGCCGATGGGCGCAGGAGGCGCGGCAGGCACCAGAGCCTGGGCTGTCGCCGCTGTGGCCGAGGCCAGCAAAAGAGTGAAACTAGAGAAGAACATCGTGCCAGTTGCAAAGAGATAGGCCGGAAAGGACAGTGCGGCTGTCTAAGTCTTGACTTGTGTGCCGATGAAGAGAAAAGAAAAAAAGTATTATCATCAAGTCATCGTCCATTACTTATATTCATTGCTTCAGTATTTCATCGACATGTCAAAAATCCAAGCTCGGCGATGTTGGCTCTCGTCCGAGCCTCACGGCGGCAAGTACCGTAGTATCGACGAGAATAATATCGTGCCGACGGATGCAATTCTCACGATGCGGAGCACCTAAAAAACCTTAGTTGAGCACATATAGTTGGGTTCACGGAGCACCCGAAAAGTTTCGTCGATCAGATAACATTACCATGTGGGTCACCCGAAAACTTTAGATGATCAGATAACTGCTTTTCAGGAAAGGCCTCTATTCCGGATTTCGTAAGGTTAAACCAAGAAAGGCGACTTATTTCCCTGTTCTCTGAAAGAGAATCGTTCGTCGAACTGAATTGAGAACAGCCGCGCTGAGTTGAGCCGAGTTGAGAGATGAAGGTGTCTGTCCCCGCTTCAGGGGAGCCCTCACCCAAATGCGCGTCATGTCTTCATGCGCGACATCAGTTTCTGCGGAGCCGCATCCCAAAAGAGACATACTGCACGTGCAGACTTTGACAACTTACTATATTGGGGCAGACTTTTCGTTGCGGATCTACCTGCCGATTCTGATTCAGAAAGTGAGGTTTGCCGACTCTGCACCAACTTGACTAAGGCTATACCCGCTTCCCTGTAACCTTGAGTCTTCTTCCCACTTTTGTTGATCGCCAGCAATTGTCGGCTTTTGACAGTTGTTTGTACGAAAGTCTAATGTATGAAACAATGACACACTTATTTACATGTCAGCTGTTGTGGGATCCCTAGGTAGCATTGCGGCGGGAACAATACACGGCAATGATGTCAAGCTTAGCCCGAGCTTCGGGTTGTTTTCATTTTTGCCGTGTTGTTTCAGGATGGAGGTAAGGGTTCTGCATGTATACTTTGAGCAAGTTTATTAGGACTTGGGTCTTTTGAGGCTCTTGTATGTGGGGCTCTTAATATGTAAAGATCTGGTTCTCGACCCTCAAGGTGGTCCGCTGGCCATCAAGGTGTTTTTGTACGTGAGGCTCCTCCCGAGGCCGGCCCAAGTGATCTGATCGTCGCGCAGTGGGTCAAGCCTACTTGTCAGATCAGGTGTAGTATTGGTTCCTTGTTGAATAGGGCTGTCATAACCTTTGAAAAGTAGCCTTCGGTAATTTCCTGTCGTAGCCACTTTCTAGTTAGCGATGTAGCATTTAGCCGTTGGAAACATTATCCCGCGCAGGACATCCCGCTGGAACACTCTGTTGATCCTTCGTGTAAAACTTTTTTCTGATGTCGGAATGATCTTTTGCAATAAACCATCATATACGAGAGTTGTATGCGTGTGTCAGACCGGTCCCACGTCTTGATGAAGGTGTTGATGAAGGCGAAAATGGCTCGGGTAGTTTCGGCCAACGGAGTTTCTGAGGATATCGTCTCTTGAAAGATCATGACTTAAATACTCCCGAAAACACGACTTCTTGTTGCAAGTTTGAAGCCAGCATCCTAGAAACTCATCGCTACCAACCGGCAGATCCTCAGAGCGAATCAACGCCATCGCCATCCCCACAAAGCTCAGCAAGATGTTGTTCTCCAAGTTGTGAGTTGCATTCCAAAGCTTTTCAGCACCTCATTCCTCTGTTTCCATGATGTCTAATGTAATACAGGCAAGTCTTGTCCTACCTGGCGCTCGCCCAGCTCTGCGCAGCTGCCGCCATCGACACTGTTCAAGATATCGCTCCGCGTGGAGCCTTCCGCGACAACTACGGCAGCAACATGTGTCTCCAAGTCAAGTGTGACACGACGGTCTGCGCCGAGAACCCCGATGATGCCCTCGCCGTGGCGTCTGGCGGAGTCAGCCTGATCGTGGGCCCCGACTGTGCCGGATGGGATGAGGGCAATCTCCTCGAGCTCCCCAACGGCACCAATGGCAAGACTTGCCCCGATGGCCGTAAGCTCTACCAGGGCACTTTGATGGTATGGAGAGCCTGGAACAACGTCAGCGCCAAGAAGGATTACCACGCCGAGTTTCTTGAGTGGGACAACTTCAAGGGCGCCCAGTGCTGGGGCAAGAAGGACGTCCAATGTCAGAAGGATGGTGTCAAGATGGCTCCGGACCCGAACACCGGTCTTTGTGTGCCCTGGGGTCTGTGAAGGAATGGAGGGTGTAGATGGGTGGAGGCTATAAAAGGATGGAAAAGTACTTGCATTTTAGGCCTTCTGGTCGTGGAACTTCATAATAGTAATTATCATCTACTCTTAGTAATATTTTTCTCATAGTAATAATCTTTCGGTCATCAAAAAGTACATATACCCGTACGCAAGCACACATTGATTCAAAAGTAGCATTTCTGTGATATGTTTGGTCACATTGAATAATTCAGACGTGACATGATTATTTTCATCATGTCGATCACTAAAGGTTTCTTTCAATTGTGCGATAGAAATGGGTCCAGAAATTTAGGGAAGACGCTGCTGCATTCAGATTTCAAATTAACTAAGCAATCCCTAGGGTGTGCTGTTCCAAAGGGATGTTTGTTACCATCTCAGGACATTAAGAACTACCTGTTTGAAAGAAAAGGAAAAGAAACGAAACAAAGCTGGCCCCGCTTGGGTGAAGTAATGTAACTTCAAGTCGGATAGCAAGGTTGAGTGAGCTCCATCAGTGTATGGCACATGTCACGACCATAAACTTTGGAGCAATGTGTGTGATGAGTAGAAGCTTCCTTTATCTTCGAAGCGAGTGAACACTAAACGGCTGACGGATTCGTCGTTGTCTTTCACGGAGTTGACCCCTACTGTACGACGGCAACGTCAAACGTTTCCGGGTGCTCCAAAATTCCACCGCATTTGTTCCGTAACAATTTCAGCGGGAAGCTATTCAATTCCGATAAGAATTGAATTGAATATGCTGGATTGCCAAGCTGAGAAGAATACTTCATGTTCTTTCGGTGCCACATCATGGCCCACCTGGACGCAATTCCTGTTATACGAAAAGTTGAGAAACTCGCGCACGAGGTCAAATAAAGAAACGCCAACAGACCCTTGCATGCGATATATAACATGAAGCATCATTTCTTCTCGATTTTTAAAGTGATCGAAGACGAAAAGTATTTTCCTATGGGGTCATCTTCGCCGATTTCGTTGACGTACGGCTGACCTCGTAGCTGATCCCCACAAGTGGCCTCCATCAACACCAGGAATCATGACAACTCCCTATAGCGGGTTCATCTTGTCTGGATTTGACACTTTCTATCCGGCCTCATTCGTATTTCCGGATGGCATCCCAAAATCGCCATTCAGCGACGCATGGACTTTCGGCAAACCAATCCCAGAGACCATGGTCACCGTCGGCCTCGGCGACGGCAAGAAACTGAGTCTCGCAGACGGCAACTTTCCCTCGGTCGCTTTGTGGAATGAAGAAGGACAACGATTGGGACAGTATCAAGGCCATTACGCAGGCCACGTAAAGCAAGGGGGCGAAAAGACGGTGGTGATCCGACAGACCATGAACGGCAGGAAAGACGAGGATCCAGGATACATCATGCTAAGCGCGGACAACGACGCCATTTGCATCGCCATGATTCAAGTTTCGAACAGCAGACACACCTCCGCCTTTTTTGGAGATACCGGCTACGCCTGCGGGCAGAGCTGGTACTTCAGTGATCGCAAGATGACGCACGACCTCGTCAACCGCCTGACCTCGAGATGCGTCTGGCTGGATTCCGATCACAGCGGCACGAAAAATGCGCGGGCGATGAGCTACCATCTCAAGGACATGTTGCCCACGAAAGACAAGATCGCACTGTACAACCGGGACGGACACAAATACCTCTGCACGACTCGGCGATTTGCCTGGTGGAGAAATTTGAAGCCGAATGGCTGGATTCCGTTCTACAAGCCCCCGCTGGATTACTACCCGGACAGTGAGGACAAGAAAAAGGAAGGAGCCGACATCAATCCAGACTTGATCCTTGATGACAAGGTGTACGACAAGGACATATACATAGAGCAGGGAGAGTCGAGGAAGGTGAGGGAATATCACAAAAACAATCCCTTCGCGCGAGCGAAGAAGCGGCGGGACAAGAAGTCTTTGAGGAAAAGGCAGGGGGCAAATATGGACCTGGAGCGGATCGTGGTGACTGAAATTCCGGGACAGACGGCAACAGAGATCTGCGAGCACCCAAATTCGGTAGGGTATGACATCGCGTCTTATGTTGACATGAAATACTGCGATATCTCAGAGAAGAAGTTGTATGATCTTTGCAGCGGTAGTATCAAAACCAACTGTTTTGATGGCAATAGTACGACCTTCGTGGGGGTTATCAACGCACGCGGCGAGAATGCTGCACCGGCGAAGTCTTACAAGACCAGGAGCGATTGGAAATGACTGGATGTTGTTGGGAATCTGATTATTGTTCCAATTTCTTGTGTAATATTTTGACCATCGTAGCTTAACGGCCTTTTGACGAAGTATATTGTATCAGTAGATCCGAAATTGGTTGGGTATAAGTCATGGGTGCAATAGTACATTAACAGGCATGTGGAGAAGTTGTAGTGTATGGTGAAAACTTGTTGTATGAGGCAAGGTGTAGCTAGAGAACGAAGTCAATCTAGTCTGTGCTTGTGAAAAGATCGTTGCATTCTCATTACCAACCCCTCAAGCCTCCAGTGCTTACTACATGAAGGCCAGAACTTCATGCTCTAGCCGCCTCCCACTCTTCAAACGCCTTGACAGCCTCAGCAACAACGTCATGACCGAGGAGCTCTTTCTGATATTCCGGATCAATCCACCTCCATCCCGTGGGTGACAGCCCGTCGGCCAACTTGGCACCTGCCATCTCGGCATCTCGCGCTTCCTGCTCGGGCCCGTCCGGTATTTGATACCACTTCTGGTTCGATCTTGCGCCTTGAACATTCATGGTCGTCCGTGATTTTCTTAGTGTCTCATAGAGCTGGAGCACCTCCGGAATCAACTCCGCCGGCGTGGTTCCATTCGAAGAGGTATTGAGCAAGCCTAAGAGTTTGCCAAGGACTGCACCGTCTTCGACAGCCATGGCTGCCCCTTGTGCCTGGTAGGGAAGACTCGGATGACAGGAGTCTCCCAGCAGAGCCACACAACCCTAGGCATATTAGCATGGTGTTTTACTGAATGTTGTGATGGCAAGCAAACCTTTGTCCAAGTCTTCAATTCAGGATGCGTGCACAACTTCCATTTCTGAACTCGTGGTATGCAAGATATCAGCTTGGTCAACCTGTAAATGATGGTTAGCCAATAATCTCATTGATTCACCGAAACATTGGCCCAGTGACATCTTTCAATCACCGATAGCGCCGAAAATTGCTCGAGCGGAAGATCAAAGGGTCCAACTCACGTCTCATCCCAACCCTCATAGCTCTGTCTCATCTCACCAACGTCCCCCTCAATGTGCCTTTCTCCGGGCGCCATGTTGTCGGGTCTGATCAAGACCAAGTTGAATTCTCTCCCGCCCCTGACAGGGTAGAATACCGTATGCTTTTGGGGTCCTACCCACACTGTCACCTGCTTTCGAGAACACAGCTCGTCTACAGCTTCGTCGTTAAGTGTCTTGAGCTGCTCCGCGGGGAATGACGCTCGATACGCAAGATCCCCCGTCTCAACTGCTGGTGATGGCGTTTCAAGCAGCTGATTGCGGCATATTGAGTATAGACCTGCTCAATATTAGCAAACCGATGGCCCCTTAGAACGACATCGTACCCACCATCGGCGCCAATAATTACGTCCCCAGAAATGTCATCTCCGTCCTCAAGCCAAACGGTATTGGTATCGAAATCAATCCTCTCAACATCCATGTCCAGACAAAGATCTACCCCAAGACTCTCACACGTCTCCCATAACGCCGCATGACAATCAGCGCGATGACACACCATCCACAGGTCTCCATACTGCTCCATACACTCCTTCGCAGAGAGTGAAAACAGATGCTTCCCGTTCGCATACCGCCTCAGCTCCATTTTGTCGACGATGACACCCCTCTCCAGCAACTTGTCAAGATATCCCAGCTGCCGCGCAATTCTTGTCCCATTGGGCGGTACCTGGATCCCAGCGCCAATCTAAAAAGAAGAGGCAAAATACAAGTCAGCAGACTCTTCCGGAAGGAGCCGAAACTCAGGCCTGATCGCGTGATTAAACTCACGGGCACGATGCGGTTCGCCCTCTCGAGCACCACAACTTCCAGGCCTTCCCGCTTGCATGCAATCGCACAGGCGAGTCCGCCTAACCCCGCTCCGATGACAAGGACCTTCATCCTTTCGCTCTGGTGATCTCTTCTTCTACAGCGGCACAATCGTTCCTCCGATGACGTGGAACAGGATGAAATATAAAATACCGCGGGCGGAAAATCTGTCCTGTTTGTTGTTGAAAAAGGAATAACGCCTGCGGGACAGCGGCGTGGTGGACACTGCCCCGCGCGGCCCGAAACCCACATCGGTAGCGTAACCGCCTGCAATGCTGATCGGGAACTCTAAACGGAGCCCTCCATCCTATCTCTCCGCCTCTTCGCCCCCACCTCCACACCGGGGGGACTTACCATTAAGATGGTGCTGATCAAAGATGCGAGCCGTGTTGATTTTTCCTTGATTACTTCTTCTCCAGTTACTAGCTCGGTCGACTCGGAATGCTTCATCGGTCCGAGGTGTCATTTCTTAAAGCCTAATTCCGAAAACTGTCGACGCAAGGACGGCTGTGGCGGGCTCTTCTTCTTTGCGTGATGCACGGTAAGACTGTTTGACGCCTCTGCAAGTTCTTGGGCGCAGCGGGTGACTATTTCAGCTGATGTTGGATAGCCCTGCAACTGCCATGAGTGATTGGAGAATACCTATACATAAAAGAAGAGCGATGTGCAGTACTCTTACTTTGCATCAATAGTGCATGCATTCAAGCGCATGCAGAGGACTTTTGTTGTAGAACAGACCTTGAATGAGGATAGAGCATTGAAAAATACCTGCGTGCATGACACATACTATATTGGGAGATGATTTGTAATGACAGTTATTGACTGGCTGAGATGAGTAGGGATGCATGGGAGGTTCTCAACTGGCCTTCTGCATCACACGAATAAAGTGAAGCACCATCGAGAATGTATGACCATAAAGTAAGCAAAAGTATTAAATCTTTATCTACCCTCAAATTTAGCAGTAGTCTGTTCATAGGAGCTGAGACAGAGCTTCTCGAACAGACCGAAGCGACTTAATCTGCGTTCGTCTAGGACCACCAGTCTGACCCACTCATAGACGTTCCTGGACATCTAGATTGCCCATGTTAGTTTCAACCTTCTTCCAAACGGTCAGATCATTGGAGGGTACCGTTCCCTAGCAATCTACTCATATGCACGCGTTGTTTCAGTCCGTGGACCCGTGTACCCGCAAGTAGCTAGGAGGCTCAGCATACTTCCAAGCTGACTGTTTTTCATCACCTGGTACCCATGATCAGATTTCTCAGACTTCACGGCTATCGTCCAGGGGTCTGGCATTACCCCAAGGCTACGGATTTGTCAACCAGATAGGTGACTTAAGATGGATCTCGGTACCAACATCCGAGTGACGTCTCGTAGGGCTAGCTGACAGGATGTGACAGCCGCTCAACCCTCTCCCCGTGCCCCTTCTTGGCAAACGAGATCCAACAGAGGATGAGCTCCATATTTTGTGAAGCTTCTATCATGAATGGCATTCTGATAGGTTCATGTGAAGGATCAACATCGTCGCAACGATATTACGTGCATGTACACCAACTTTATCACGACACCATCCGCGATTCTTAGAGGGACGTGTCGATCACTCTTAAATAGCGTGATGGTCTTTGTCTTCGTAGTGAGGAACGGTGATAACGGGAAGCGCTGTGCGCGATGGAAATTATCTGATGTAAAATGTGATTGCGTCGGTAGCATCAAAACACCGAATGGCCGATGGGATATCTCTAACTTGGTCACCGGTGCTACCCGCACGCCACAGAACTGGGCAGATGACCAACAGCTTCCCCAGCCCCCCAAAGATGATCGATGAAGATATTCGTACAATGCCCTGCGCTGCTCTGTGGGCGGCCGGGTCATGCCGCGCCGCGCGTGTGAGTGACCGAAGATCCCGCGAAGACAAACCCGGCGCCCTCGGCTCTCCGATTAATCCTCGCTAAGCGCCCGCCCAGCTTCTTGCAGACATTGATGCGATAACATATCCTACAAAACAACATGAATAGTGTTGAGATTAAAGACGATTAAGTATTTAAACATGAAATCGGGCTCCTCGGCGTTTTGCGTTATACCCCGGTCGACTTTTGACATCCTGTCATCCTGGCACGTTATCCGATCTTCCCGGAGGTCCTTGCTCCCCTCCTCTCCGACGTCACCACTCAAACGTTGCGGGAAGTGGAGGAGTTGGAGGCTCGCCAACTTTGTAAGTCCCCGATTACCTGATCAGGGAATTCGTTTTCGGACGAACGTCGCCGATGCGCGGGGCGTGCGGCCAGCGCGGATCGCAGCCCGTCTGAATTGTCCGTCCGCGGGCTCCTATTCCCACGATGCCGAACATTATACCATTCCGCAGTTCATTAATGTTTCGTTATTTTTCCTTTTTAGCCCGGGGCACCCGACGGCACAACCGGGTGTGCGCGGTGTTCCATGCAAGGCACAAAGTGAAAAATAATAGCACCACACTCAGGAGGAGAGAGTGGCGTCTTATTTTATTATTCCTCGGTCTTGGACTTTTCTCGACGTCTCTTAAAATTGAGCTCGTTCTCGTTACCCCTCGAGATTGGCCCTAATGCCTTTCATTGTTGAAAAGAAAGTGGCGCTTTCCCGGATGGCCTTCCAAGCCCTTGTAAGATACGATCACGATGGACAAGTCTTTTACGGCAATCTGGTGCGAAGAAGCAGAAGCGGTTATGTTGTGGAGAGATTAGGCGGAAACATTGATGAGGGGTTCGTCAATACGAATATGAGGGATACGGTAACGAAGGTGAGAACCCGGAGATGGCATGACTCGGTTGTGAGATTTGTTGTCGAGGAAAGTGACCGCTGACGCAATGTTCCGCCAGTTGCTGTGTCCCTTAGAGCGAACACCAAGCATTGTATGTCTTGGCCTCAATTTTCTCAGATATGCAGAACAAGCAAATGTAAGGGTAACATCGTCACTACGCCTGCAAAGCATCACTAACAATTAATCAGCTACCAATCGCGGCGTATCCAATAGTTTTCACGAAGCCGCCAGATGCTTTGGCGGGACCGAATGATCCAGTCTTCGTTCACCCGGACGCGCAAAGTCACTTGGATTACGAAGGCGAGCTGTGTGTCATCATTGGAAGAGACGCGAAAAACGTGTCAGAAGACGAAGCGCTTGATTACGTTCTTGGTTATTCTGCAGGAAACGACCTTACCGCACGGAATTTTCAAGTTCCCGACGCTTCAGGAGGCCAGTATTCTTACTGTAAATCATTTGATGGTTTTGCGCCGATAGGACCGGCGATCTGGTCGCCAACAGTGGTTCCGGATCCGCATGCACTGCGGTACCGCACGATGGTCAATGGCAAAGTAGTCCAAGAGACTGAAACTTCCGACATGATCTGGAGCGTGGCGCAGGTGATTGTCCACCTTTCACGGGGAACAACGTTGAGGAATGGCACCGTTATTATGATGGGTACACCGGCTGGTGTTGGCTATTTTCAGGGGAAGTTCTTGAAAGATAGTGATGTGGTGGCTGTGGAGATCGACGGACTGGGGAAGATCGAGAACAAGATTGTGTTCGAGAAAGAAAATCCCGAGGAGATGGAAGAGTAGACCTTTTATGGTTGGGAGGCAGTCTGCACTGCAGACAGATATTTCTGGATGACTTTCATGAGATACGATGACGTCCAATGGCCTACGGCTCCGAGTTTATTACACGCTCTCATGATTTGGTCTTTCGGCGTTTTCGTTTGAACATTCGGATGGCTGGATACGGATTTATACAGGAGTACTTGCTTTAGTGTGGCTCTAGGTGTAGAATCTTCTGCTTTCGACTCTATGGTTATAGCTGGTATTCAACGGAATCCTATGTCTCCCGTAGTCCGTCTCTAACGTTTCAGTGAACTATTTGTATAATGCCAAAGTCATGTGACAGCTTAGCCTATGCAAGCCCTACATCCTTCTTAAACTTAAGCAGCCACTCCTCGACGTCGGCAGGCGTTTGGTTCCAGGGATCATCGCTGTGGTATCCTCGTCAGCGTATCGGCTACCAGGAAAGGTGATCCTATGCTAGGTCTACTCACTCATCATACAGAACCCATCTCGCCTGGTGTCGAATCTCCTCATCGGTGGGAATATGGCTGTTGGGATTATTGGGCGACATTGTGCTGGCGACAAAGCGTGAAAGCTCTTTTGCAAGACGTCGATATCTGTTGTTATCATTTAGGAAGAACGGCATTCCACTGCCCCCGGGCCGTTCATTACCCTGCCATGACCCTTGGAGTGACTGCCCCGACCCTTTGAAGATTGTCTTAGCTGCTTGTAGTCTCATATAGAAGTCTTGTGTGGATTCCGCTGCGCTTTCTAGCCCCAACCCGACAGGATCTTGTAAGCCATCCATGCTAGCAGTTTGTGAAAGCCAGGAGGAATCGGCTGCAGGTGCCATCTTCCCAACTCCCTGATAGTGACTGAATTCTGGCAAGTTTCTTTGGGCTATGTCCAGAGCTGGCTCGTTCCATTCCCCGTGAAGTCCCGGAACGGGTTGTGTTGACAACCCGTCTTGAGAGTGCTGCTTCCCCCGTTGTCGCAAAGGGGCAATCCAGTCTTTGGATTCCCAAATGAGTCGCACTAAAAAGCCAGAAAACCTTCTTGAAGGGTTGGTAGACGATTCTTCAACGCGAGCCAGAATCGCGCAAGCCTCTCGTTGGATTTCGTGGTCTGAAAGAGCCAGGCCAAGTGTAACGTGCATCCCAATGTAATGACGTAGCTCTGACTCAAGCTGGCATTCTTCAAAGATGTTCATTTTACCGTTGATGCGGAGCTGGCTCAGGCGTAGCTTAGCCAGCTGCTGCATAGGGCGGAAACGAGCTTTTGTGGCTATCTCAGTCGAGCACATAAAGATATCTCTTAGCCACGAGGGCGGTGATGAGCCAAGAGCCGACGAAAAGAATTCCGCGCCAAAGATGATGCTACACCCCTCATACTTGAGTTCATCATCAGATGGCGAACTGTCCTTGCCCTCGAAGTAGTTTCGTATGTAGTACTCTATCTCTAGTTTGAGAAGTTCGTAGGCGCTTGGTGCAGTATCGGCTGGTCCCACACTTGCGGTGAATGGGAGTGCTGAGAAAGACTCGAATCGAATGAGATCTATGCATCATTAATCGTGAACCAAAGGCTTTCGAGATTGATTTCCAGCACTTACATGGCGGCATGGCATTGTCCAACATCTCCATCACAGCAGGCTCAAATCCCCAATCTCCCTGCCAGTCCGTCATGGTGCTTCCATTTTTGAAGTGGTCGGCAAGATGGTCTCCTCTTTCTGCCCATGTCTCGAGCTTGGCACCGCAAAACCCACAGGCTGAGCGAATATTATTCTTTACGACTTTCCACTTATCCATTAGTCGCGTCATCTGATTCGATCCGTGCACAAGCTTCAAGTGCTGCCGTAGATGGTCTTTACGGTAGAAGGTGCGATCTTCAACAGGCTTCTCTGAGCAAGCACTCTGATGGTGCTCATCAAGGTGAGGTTTACTGGGGCTAGGCTCTTCGCAATAAGCGCAAACCTCTCCCTTTTCGGGATGGTTTTCCGTGGACCCGTGTGGTGAACACACCCATTCTTCCAGTGAAAGATGAAGGGACTTTTCATGTCTCTGCCAGTCGTATTTCGTCTTGAACGTTTCCGTACAAAAGGTACACTGGTACGTATTGCGAGCCTGCACCAACTTGATACGCTCTCCTTTTTGCATCTTGGTGAGGGCTCGACGCCTCCGCCTGCCTGAGAATTTGTTTGAATCCTGCGATCCGGCTGACCGTCTGGACCCGTGGGAATAGGCAGAGGTGTTCGAACCTCTGCTAGACCGAGACGTCGCCGCACTGCTAAGGGATGATGCATTTTCCGAAGACCTACCAGGCGATCGTGCACGGCTCGGAAAACTCGATTGTCCGGTCGATGCCGCAACAGCCCGATTAATATCGGAAGCGAGCGCGGGCTCGTGCTCTGGTGGCGAGTGCTCCCATCTCTGCATCGGATTCATCATCTCGAACGGCATTGGCGTCGGTCGTCGGGTTGGGATTTCAATGGGCCCAGTCGTAGTCTCCGTCCATGATGGAACTTGCGCAGCCGATGTGCCTTGCGGCCGGAACTTCTTGCGACGGCGCGTGTTGGCAAACCAGTTGGTGATTTGCTGTCGCTCCAGGCCTGTTTGATTCTGCAGTCTATCGACATCTTTCGGTGTCGGGTAGGGATGTTTTTCGTGCCTTTCGAACCACGCTCTCAGAACTTTGATAGCGCCAGATGAGAAGCGGCTGCCGATTTTGGATGGCACAGGGGCTTCAGGCTCGCCGGCCTCAGCTGGGCCCGCTGAAGTGACCGCATTGTCCTCAATTTCAGCGGACAGAGGTACGCCGCCCGAGATGCTTGACGATGGCGATGCCATGCCGCTGTCGATCTGTTGCTGGAAATCAACTGCCGAGTTGCTTTGACCGGATATGAGATCGGAAAACATGCCCAGCTGATCAAAGTCTAAACCGACCGCTTGGAATTGGTCTTGCGTGCTGGGCATCGCGCCGAGGTTTTCGTGTGGGCTATCCATGACTCGGACCGAGCACTAGGTTTCAGGACGTGAGAGTTGGGCACAAACCAATGTGGGATGCCATTTTCCGCAGATTTCAGTAATTCTGGACAGGAAACGCGGAAAACACCATAAAATTCCTTCTCCTAAAGAATGATGATCAGATGAAAAGGATCGGTGGGCGATTGCGGAGAGGCGGGGCAATAAGAAGGTTTGTGGATACTAATGGAGCTTGTCAACAAAGGGCGGAACCGCTTATGCAATGTCATTCCGCCCTTTAGTGACACGCTAACAGCTCTACTTCATTAAAAGATGACAACTAACTTGAATGCTGCAATTTTGTATGTCTTTAAAGCAATATTCTAAATTTCGCATACAGACTGACACTTTCTCTGTTAGCTCGTAGTGTACTGCCACAGGGTAAAATAGTGATTACCTGTAAAGCTCCCTGAGTGGCGAGGTCACACCAACAGGCGCCGCAGTCGATTGAGTTCAATTTTAGAGAAGATTGTGGCTCATGGCTATGGAATTTCAACCCTGTAATCGGCGAACAGGAGAGTTCCTGATACTGACTATAATATTAAGCAACGCGATATAATCTATCCCCTTGTCGTGTGCGCACCATCTTCCTCCGTCAATGTCCCCGAAAATGGGGCCGGGAGGGGCCGTTGTGGATCATTCTTGAGGTCGGGATTTCCGGGTGAAGTTTTAAGCCAACTTCCTTTAGCGAACCTATATGCTTCACTTCTTTATACTTTGAGGCTGTTCCGGGGAGTTTCTCCTCTAGTCCGCGATAACGCCGATCAAAGTGCTGGCAGCTGCGCAGCTGCGCAGCCCGTCCCGGGGTTGTCAATCTCCAGTAACGGCCCCTCATCGCCGAGAAAGCTTACCGGCAGGTTGGCCCAAAGCAAGTGGTACATAGTCTCCTGCTTTTCATGTCGGATTACGATGTGCTCCGTTCAGTCCGCCTCGGCGCTCCGCCGACCTGACATCAGACGACATGGCATGGAAATTACTATTTGTGCTCCCCGAACCCCTCAATCATCCCAACCTCCGCCCATCGCAAGCACTTCACAATGCCAGATCCGAGAGGTTAAGACCGATACCGAACCCGTCTGTCTATGAAAGTCTCCGGGCACCTGCGTGCGATGAACGTCAGGCTGATCGGGCACAGACCCTCTTTTGGTAAAACGTAAAGAGTTTATCGCGAGATCATCATCAGAGCTATATTTGTCTCGGTTTCGGTAGCAATGGTTATTCGATTCGGGGATTAGGTATGGCACGGCACTCATATGAACTGCCCCAATCGATCTTAGTATGGATAGAGCGTTGCTTACTTGCAATTTACAACCAATGAGATCGTCTTGTCTTCATCGTAAGCTCTATGTATCCTCGTCGGATGGCACAGCTTGCCGCTAATGTGTCGCTCATTATGGCTCTGGCTGGCATCTTACTCAAGCTGAGCAGCAGATTATTGCGCCGGTGGCTATTGTGTAAGAGGAAGCATGCTTTTCTAGATTCGGGAGACACCGTCACCTGCATGATGTTTGAGTGATTCTAGACAGCTTCGTGGTGAAATCTGTGCTGTCAAATTGGGGGCTAAGGTAATTCGATTACGATACGCTTCTGTTGATGCGGTTTCTCCGCTGCTTTAGACATACTCGAATTCCAATTTAATTTCAAGACAACTCCAACCTCTAATGCACCGTGCCCTGAGTTGAGTCATTAAACAGTAGACAATTCCAAAACTTTTGTAGCGTTGAGCTTTTCCATTCCCATGCTGTGCCTGCATGTGCTGTGATGATTGTTTATGACCGTTACATCGTCAAGTCATTAATGCGTTACGCATCCCTCGTGTACTCGGACCTCTGGCGCCAAACGTGGCCGTACCTCATCAGAGCGATGGGAATCGGAGCCAAGAAGATGCTGCCGACGCCCAAAACAGTGAAAGCCCACCCGTATCCAAACGACTCGATCAAGGGGCCGGTGGTGAGGGGGAGGAAAGTGCCAGCCAGGCATCTGGTGACAATCAGTCCGGTCATGGCGGACGCGCTGTACAGACCCGCGGCGTCGACAACGTAGGCGGATAGGGGCAGCGAGCACATCAGGAGGAAGAAGCCCAGCACCGCGACTGAGACGAGAAGCCAGATCACGGGAAGCTTGAACTGGGCGATCCATCCGTATGCGATGATGGTCAGGGGAAGGCCGAAAGCGCCGACAACGACCAGCGGGAGACGGTACTCGGGGCGTCCGGTTGGGTCGTTGCCACGGAGCTTGATGTAGATTCTGTCCAGGCTGAAGTTACTGACGACGACGCTGATGAACGAGCCGATACCTGAATGCGATTAGATGATGTCTGGAAAACTTCATTCTCACACGGAAGACTCACTGAATGCTATGAAAGAGAGGCCAGTCAACGTGGGCGAGAAACCGTACACCTCCTGCAGGATATTGGGCAGAGTTATAGACATGACGTAGAAGTATGCGAATGTGATGCAGCCGAAGAATGACAACGCGAGCAAAACGCTGGACTTGAACAACACGGTACCGGGTCTCTTGATCGACTCCCACAACTTCAACATGCTCTTGTGGTCATCGACGCCGGCAGGGTGAAGCGGAGCTCCAGATTCATGCTGCACCTTGGCGGCGCGCCGTCTCAGGATGGTCATCTTGTACGTCTCCGTGAAGAAGAACAGGAACAGCACTTCGCACGTAGCGGCCAAGCCAGCGCTCATCCACAGAACACGTCTCCAGCCCAGAGTCTGGGCAATGGCGCCGCTGATCATGGGGCCGACGGCACCACCGATCAATGGTGCGAGTGAGACCATGCTCATGGCAGAGCCGCGCTGATCAGCCTCGAACATGTCGCCGATAATGGCCGGGCTGAGGACATTGGTAGCGACAGCGAGGCCGGTGAGGGCGCGGGCACTGATGAGGAGCGGTGTGCTGGTGCTCAGCGCAGCGAGGATGGTGGCCGTCACGAAGAGGATGTTGGCGGCGTTCAAGACGGGCTGACGGCCGTAGATCTCGGAAAGGGGCGCGATGAGTAGGGGCCCGGCGGCCTCGCCCAATTCCCAGATGGTGACGAGCAGAGCGCTTGCTGGTGAGTTCGTGCCGTCATCATGGTCGAGGTCACCAATGATGTGCGCAGCGACAGGGACGACTGAGATGCAGGTGAAGGTTCTGCGAGCAGGTTAGCGGACAAAGCCAAGGAATAGGCTGCTGGTTGAAAGTTGAACCGCAGTGGGTGGTGTCTCATACACAGTGAACGCCATACACGCCAGCAGACCGACTATGGTCCACTTGAAAGCCAGCGGCCATTCCCTCGGGTTTTCAGAATCGCCATTGGGGTCGAAGTCGAGCAGGTGCTTTGAGACATCTTCCTCGCAGAGAGGATCCTCGAGAAGGGGCTGACTTTCGGCCATATCTGACGTGTTTTCGAGGCGGTGATGAGTACCTTGAAGTGAAGTCGGTGATCGCTCACTGGGCGGCTGGTGAGGAAACAGCGGCAGCGGAGGCAGATGCAGTGGGCAGCAGCTGCACCTTGAAAGGATTGCAGATCCGCTTCAACAGTCAACAGCGCCTTTGCGTGCTTGCCCCACGGTGCTTGGTCATTGCCAGACAAAAATTTGATGGCCGGGGTCGGGAAGGTGGGTGGCAATTGATTGCAATAGCGGGGCGCCGGCGCCGGCCGAGGGGCTGGGCCGTCAGTGCCACAGGACACACGTGACATCCGCTTTGTGCCATTGTGTAAGGAAGCAGCATGTTGGCGTGAAATGCTCGCTCTAATCTGGCGGTGGATCTCATGCGAGAATTGTTGGTTGCCTGGAGTTCGTTGTTCAAGAAGAAGACGCCTCTAAATAACCGAAAATCGCAAACCTTATCAAAGACCCTGGAATTGCAGTAAAAAGCCGTTGATGGCTCTGGCATCTGTTTCGCCAATCTCGGCGATTGGTCGTACAATGTTTCCTTTTTCGGACAAGTGCGGGGTCCGTCTCCGATGTCGTCTCCACTAATTGGAGCTTCCCCGGCCGGCTGACGGCGGCTGAAAGATCCCCCGCGGTTCTCACTCCCGAATCTGACGCCGGCTCCCACCTTCAACTGCGCCTTTTGAGCAGCATGACTCCACCAAAGGGCGAGATATATGAAGCGGTTCTTTCCAGAGCTGCACTTGTTAGGAAAGTCTGGATTTGGGTTGAGCTTGAAGTCTATGCATTGGTACTCAACTTGATTGGCCAATTCGACATCCCAGCAATTACGCCATCCTCACGCCGGATTGTCTGAGCAACACCCCCTGAACTGCAGCCATGAGCATCCCTCAGCTTCGTGCGCCGTCGGTGGACGAACTTCGGAAGTTCTACGTCGGCAAGAAGATCGACGACGTTCCAAAACCCGCAGTCGTTCTTGATGTTGCCAAGGCAAAGAGACACTGTCAGTCTATGCTTGATGCCGCCAAGGCTCTCGGGGTGGGCTTCCGAGCTCATGTAAAGACTCATAAGGTACTTTCAAGTCGAAGGCGTGCACATAAAACCGTTATGAATTCTCTCGGTCTGTGGTTCTGACCGGGATTTTAGACTACCCAACTTGCAAGGCTTCAAGCAGGCGAAGACTCGCCAGAGGTGAAGCTCGTGGTCTCCACCATTCCCGAATTAGAACATCTATTTCCCCTTCTCAAGGAATTCAAGGACAACGGCCGGCAGGTCAACGTTCTTTATGGCATTCCTCTCCCGCCGTCACAAGCCACCAGAGCCGCGGAACTGGCGCGCGAGCTCGGTCCTGGCACAATCACTTTTATGATCGATCACCCGACACAGCTCGATGCTGTTGTTCACTTCTCGCAAAAGGCTGGATTTGCGGCTGGAATCTATCTCAAGGTCGACACCGGCTATCACCGCGCAGGTTTGCCGCCGTCAAGTCTTAACAAGAATGACTTGATCGCAAAGGTCATGCAGCTCGAGGCTGAAGGCAAAGCTACTTTGACTGGACTGTACTCTCACAGCAGTCTTAGTTACGCCGACACTGGCGCTAAAGAAGCTATGGACAATCTTGCGGGGGAGATCAAGGGCTGTGTTGATGCACTCAAGAGCAACGCTCAGCACTTCCACAAAGACAAGAAGCTGACCATCAGCGTCGGTGCGTCACCACAAGTGACCGCGATCCAGAACTTCGCTGGAGCCAATGCGACACAGAATCCTGACAGCGAGTCCCTCCGGAGCACGATCCAGGAAGTCACAAAGGGCGAACTACTTGGTTTCAAGGTGGACCTCGAGCTTCATGCCGGTGTCTATACCACCCTTGACAACCAACAACTCTCGACACACGCCAGAACATTCCTCGGAGATGTCGAGGACGAAGTTGCCATCTTCGTCGCGGCCGAGGTCTGCAGCGTGTACAACGATGGGGAACGTCAGCAGCCGGAGGCCCTTGCTGCAGTCGGTGTGCTTGGACTTGGCCGAGAGCCGTGTCCTTCCTACAAGGGATGGGGCGTTGTCAGTCGCAAATCATACGCGAAGGAAGTCAGTACACAGCATCGACTTGTTGTGGGAAGGGTCAGTCAGGAGCACTCTATTCTCACCTGGAATACTGGGTCAGAAGGCAGCGGCAAGGAACAGCTGCCGCCCGTACCCCTCGAAATTGGACAGAGTGTCCGGATCTACCCCAATCATGCATGTGTAGCAGGAGCTATGTACGGCTGGTATTTGGTGGTAGATTCCAGCGAAGGGGATGAGTCAAAGATAGTCGATGTTTGGGTGCGCGCATCTGGGTGGTAGATATTGATTCAATACTCTCCTCGCGGTAGCTTGATTGCTTTCGTTGTTAGAAAAGCCCCTTTCCTCACGATCCCCCGGCTCGTTATTGTACTAATCTTCAGAGGGTGATCGCGCCAATGGCGCCAACAACAGCAGCCTACATATCTTTCTATTCAGTTGGTCTTCTGTGGGGCATTATGTTGTATTCTTAAAGCCGTTCAACCTCCCCGCTTATTGACGCGCCTAGGAGAATATTCTGATTTGCTGTACTGATTACCCCTCCGCAAGCGGCTCCGCCATACTTACTTGTCATCTATCAAAATATTTCCGAATTCGCGTCAAATATCGTACGCTCACAGCAGTTACAGACTTGGGAGCCCTTCTACAACAATTGTCAACCCAATTAGCGGAACACGTCTGTTACATTGTTTTTTTCCCTTTTGACCTTTTATGTATGCTTTCGCACCGCAGTTTACCGCCTGAGGGCACACCTTCTCGTCCGCTATTTTACGCTAACGTAGGAGAACGTATCTCATGGACCGCTTATGCCTGTCATGTCAGAGCATACTCGACATTTCCGATACACCGACAGAAAAAGGGAGCAACCTATACATGGACTTCAAATCCTGGTCTCACAATGCTCTCAACGATTCTTGCCATCTATGCACAATGCTCTTTCATGCGGTAGCCGGCCAAAATCACCTGCAATTTATCGACAGTCACACAACGTCTGCCTATGGCATTTTGAGAAGCAAAAGGAGAGTGGGGGAGATATACGAAGAAAGTTTTGTCGACCGTTCAGGGAACAGGCACAGGCATCTGGCGCGAGTGGACCCTTGTGTTAAAGAGCATGAAGGTAAGATCGCATGAATGAATGAAGAATCTTTTCAGTGGGCTTCTAGTAGGTTAACGTTCAAAATCATTCAAATTCATAGCCAACAGTTTGAGAAAGCTAGAGAGTAGAATCGGGACTTCCACGATAACAAGTCAGACGATTCAAACAATCCTTGATTGGATGAAGGAGTGTACAGAAGGACATGTCGGTTGCCAAGAGTTCCGAGAATTTGCCAGTGCCGAGAGAACTCTGCCATTGCGTCTGGTTGATGTCGACCCCAACGGAGAATACCTAGGCAACGATTCATGGAAAGGCAAGTTTGAATCCCTTTCCTGTGAAACAGCCACAGACATTTGCCTCAGGAACTGTCGAGAAGCAGCTGAAACCAGCTCCAATAGCCTCAAATATCTCACACTAAGTCATCGGTGGGATGGCACAGCACCAACCAAAATGAACTGGGAAAACAATGCCGGATTTATGAAGCAAATCCCAGTTTCAAGTTTATCAAAGACGTTCAAGGATGCCATCCAGATCACTCGTTGCTTGGGATTTCGCTATCTATGGATCGACTCTATCTGTATCAATCAGGCCGATCCTATCGAGAAGGCCAGCGAAATCAGCCACATGCAAAGCATCTATAGCTACTCGCAACTCAACATCTCAGCCACCTCCGGTGGAGAAGGTCTGATCTTCCCGAGGAACCCGAGATCGGTACTCCCTGTTGTGCGGCAGAGAACCCCGACCAACACCCAGCCATCCAGGCCGGAACCATACGTAGTTGTTCACGCCGGTTTGTGGGGTGCGTACGTTGATCAAGGACCGCTGAATCGCCGCGCTTGGGTTGTCCAGGAACGATTGCTTGCGCCCAGGGTTTTACATTGCTGTTACAACATGGTTTATTGGGATTGCCCTTCCTTGCGCGCATCCGAAGTTGACAACTCTGGCAAGATGGATTTCAAACAGTCTGGGTTCCCCGAGACCGCAATCAACATTAAGAGGCACTTTGCTATATCGCTCGCGCAACGAAGTGGTGTTAAACTTCGACCCGTTCAGTTCGCACCACCTCAATCTTGTTTCAGACATTTTCGACGTATTTTGAAAAGCTATTATTTTCGAAACGAGCTGACGTACCCAAAAGATCGTCTGCCGGCAATATCAGGTATTGCGAAGTGGTTTATGGCATGTCAAGGCCTGCCCCCTGAGAGTTATATGGCGGGGCTTTGGGAACAAACGCTGCCAGAATGCCTCTTGTGGCATCTCGAACGGCCACTCATGGGTTGGTCAGTCCGTTATCCGGAGGCTGCGCCATCGTGGTCCTGGGCGAGCGTGATCGCAGATGAAGGCACGGAGTTGCAGACAGGACATATCCTGGGGGACTCGCCGCAAGTTACCTACCAGAACCTTCACGCCACCATTGTTCCCGAGATTGGCGACCGGTTCGGAAGACTCGATGCTGCGACTCTGCGGTTTCATGTGTGCCTTATACCTATCGAGCGCAAATGGGTACATGGCCCACATATTCGATTGTGTGGCGAAGACAAGTGGTACACAGAATCACAGGATCCTTTTTCGACGGAACCAGAGACGCTCCTGGAAAAAGCGGATGAAAAATAACTCAAGTTGCTTCATCGCATGGGGATAATCTCTCCCTCCCAACTGATCACATTGCGTCAGAAAAGGATGGCCATCAGGATGTACATGCACGTGAGATGGGACACGACGGATATGCTCTGGGGAAAGAAGGCATCCTATCGCCCGCGTCAGCTGTTCATTGTCCCAATCGCCTGGGATGGGGGCAGCGGCACTCCGGGAGACGTGAATCCGTCGACTTTGATCATCAGCGGCTTAATAGTGCAGAGAATTTTGGGCAAGGGCCAGTACAACAGGGTCGGGATGTTTTCGACGGCGAATTACCGAAGCTACCAAAATCAAGATTTGGCAAAAGGCATTCTGGAGCGCATGCCGCTAAAGGCACTTGAAAGTTTTGCGGAGGTTGCTATGAATCTATCGCGACGTGCGGTTCAACGGAATTCAAGCATGGCCGCAACTCCCATTGGACCGGATGACCACCTGGGGACCAACGATGATGGGTTGCATCTGATTGAGATTCTCTGAATAGCCTGTCGCACTTCGTAAATGAAATGTGTATTTGTTCGTATCACACTCTCGATAATTTCAGGTGTCTGCGTTCTATGGTCATGACAATCGTCTTGCCCCGTGTCCACAAGTTTATAAGAAATAAGACGTTCTTGCATAACAAAATCACGACCTCGCAATCAAGTGATGAGTGATGTCTTGGCAACCGGATTCCGGGTGGCCGACGGTGTCCGCAGGCAGTGGGCTCGGTCCCGTATTCGTATCCTTCGTCCACCGTCTCGGCGGAAGACGCCAATTTTCCTGCCATTGTTTTAATGTAACAGACATATTTGTCAGCTTCTAACGTCAGGTCGAAATTTCCTTACTGCAGGTCTTATTTCGATAGACAAGTTGTTGCATTAGAACATTGTGGATATAAGCTGGGAGCTTCGCCACGAACAAAAGGCAGACTGTGTGATATTCAACCAAGCTGCAACACACGCTTAACCAACACAATGAGCGCGACAACACAACAGATTTTACCTCCAGCCCTTCAGGCAATTTTTGACAAGGAAGAAATTCGTTCAGTAATCTATCGTTTCGCCCGGGGCTCAGACCGCGGCATCCGCGACCTCGTTCAATCGGTATTCCATCCCGATGCGACAGATAATCATGGATTCTACAACGGACCAGCAAAGGACATGTACGATGCCCTGGACGCAGGACCATCCCCGGATGCAGCCCATCACCACATTGGGCAGTCTCTGATTGAGCTCGGAGACGACGGAATCACGGCGGCTGCAGAGACGTACTGCATTGCGACGACGGTCAATGTTGTCGACGGCAAGGATAAATGGGTCACGTTTCTTGTGAGGTACATAGACACCTTTGAGAAACGGGAGGGAGAATGGAAGATCAAAGACCGGGTTTTGGCATTTGATGGGGTTTCTGATGGCAATGTGCTGAAGAGCTTACCGAAAGAGAGCCTTGGACGCAGGGATGAGAATGACTACTCGAGAAGGGTTATGAAGAACTAAGTTCAGAAACTAGCGAACTTTGATAAGTTGGTCATTGAATCTCATCTATTTTGAAGCCAATGAACTACACCAAGACGGTCAGGCATACGGTCAAAATCGATAAGGGCTCATGGTCAAGTAATCGTTTCATTTGGTAGGGTACTAGCCACTAGAAAGTAAAAGCCAAAAGGTAAAAAGTAACTTGTTCATTGATTGACGTCTAAGCTACTCTTGAAAAAACGCTGAAAGGCAGATAGGCCGTAATGCTAGGTTGCTGCCGGAGGGCATCCTGACCTCTGATGTGAAGCACAAATGGCAACTCATCATCCTCCGACATCCCTAAAACCGCGAGATACCATTCCCACTACCAAACACCGCCGCAAAGGTTCGCGCACTAAGCAAAAGCTTAGTTGAGGAGGCCGCAGATGAGGCCGCCGAGGTTGAGCTTGTCGAGGACACCGCCGACAATGCCGAGGACGGTGGGCAGAAGGCCGCTGAGGACCTCGAGGAGGAGGTTGATGACACCGCCGAGGAGGCCGAAAACAGTCTGGAGGAGACCGTCGACGATGACGTTGAGGGTGGTGAGGAGGTGGACGATGACGCTGAGAAGGAGGAAGACAAGGGGACCGAGGAGCTCGAAGATGCTGATGGTGAGGACCTTGAGGACGTTCTGGAGAGTGTAGATGATCTCGAAGACGAGCTCGAGAACAAGGCTGATGATCTGCTGCTTCTCCTCCTCGACGATCTCGACGGTGTTCTCGAGGAGCTCGACGACCTCAGAGACGAGGGTGCTGATGAGGCTGACGATGACGGTGACCTCGCTCTTGACGGTCTTGATGATGGTCTCCTTCTTGGAGGCGATGCAAGGGCCGCAGACGCCGGAGACGGTGGAGTTGATGGCGGTGGTGTGCTTCTTGACCTCGACGATGGTGGTCTGCATCTTGGTGATGATGACCTGCTCGGCGCGGGCGTCGATGATGTTGCCGACGGGGACCTTGGACTCGACGGTGCTCAGGGCAGAGCCGACGGGAACCTTGGACTCAACATTGTTGAGGGCTCCGGCAACGGGGACCTTGGACTCGACGTCAGAGACGGAGGTCTCGATCTCGTTGTTGATGGCGGGAGCCGCCAGGGCGGTGGCGAAGATAGAGCCGATGGCGAGGATGTTGGAGAATCTCATTTTGGCGGTTTTGGATTATGAATAAGAATTAAGGAACGAATGTGATTGTAAGTTGTTGGTAAAGAATGACGAGCTTGCGCTGGAAACCAGAAAGGAGTGACTGGGTGAGGATGCTGATGATGGAGAAGAATGGAGTGTCTGGAGAGATCAAGTTGTCTCCTTAAGTACACGATGGACTCTATGTTGGCCCAAGAATCATCCTCCATCAAGAGGCTTAAGGGGCATGGCAGTCAAGGGATCGTACCCCAGCTTTTGCCTATGCCGAACGCAATTATCAATTGACTGGGTTTATGACTCTCAACAACTTCCCGAAGACGAGGATCGCACTCCATACTTCCTCTTTGGGTTGCACATCATGATCAATTCGGGTTGACAGGGTAGTTGGCTTTGGAGACCCCTTGCATTGGGTTGGGTCCCACGAACCGGGGGTCTGTTCCGGGTTTGCCGTTTAGGAACTGGCTTTGCACGTCAAAATGGAAATCCTTCGCAACTCCCGCGAACAAGGTTTCTGTCTCAAAGGTTATCCGCTAGCGAGCTGTCAGAATAAGCCACCAAGATCCGATACCAAACTGGCACCTCGGGAATCTTCGAATCTTCGCTCACAGCTGCGAGAAGCTTTACATTCAGCTTTGAGGCTCTGAAACCGACTCTATTGAATCAGCGCGCCGATCCAAGCTTACTCGAAATTTCACTAAATCAAATGGTTTGCAAAAAGACGTGACAAAGTGTTGGTGCTCTGACGCTCGGAGAATTCTGATCTGCGGGTCCGCAATAGTTGACCGGGGTCGCAGAAGATCATCATTAAAGCCACGAACTAACACGGAATTGGATGGGGGCCAACGAGCAAACATCGCGTTAAAAAGCGGCAGTCACGGGAGCGGTGAAAGCCCACCGATAGATCATCATTTTGGGCATGCTCATTGTTCAAAACTCCATGTCAGTGCAGTTTCGAGATGTCGTATCATCATCTCAGCTGGGGGTTTTTCTGATGTCATCCACATCCATCGTGAGCGAGATTCTCGTTTTCTCAGGATGGCACCCGAGTGGGTGATGTCACATTCCAAAGGATTAATGGGCCCAGCACTCTGGAATAAGCTTCATACTGGAAGAGACACCTCCCACGCGGATGTAAGGATTATTTCCCTCTCCTTGTGTTGGACGGAATCTTCCATGGGCCATGCCTTATTTGTGGGGGCCGTTGGAGGCTCGCGATGTTTCTCGGTCCCACCGAGACCCCTGACAACCCACCTTCATCCCTTTACCTACCAGGGCTGTGAGATTTTAACTCGCCCGACGCGTGGACATTCTCGTGTTTCGAGGGCACGATGGCATCACCGGGGAGGCCTCAGCAGTGCGACACAATGTTGGAGAGCCCAAGAGCAATTCTTCCGCCTTTTGCTAGCACACCGCTCAGACATGCGGAGCAAGAAGCACTGGTTGCAGGCGGTGAACATCGATAACCTCTGATTCTAAGGGTATATTGATATTAATATTAATGATAATGAAGCAAGGTGTACGCCTTTATATGTCTACCCGGTTGCTGTATAATGACGCCCTTCCAGTCTTCTTCAAATCAAGATTCCCGTATTGACTACTCGCTCACTGCAATTTTGTTTCCGATCAAGATGTAGCTCAAAGAGAAACCTTGAAGAACTTAGCCACACAAGGCGTTCCAGCCTCATTCATGGCAAACATCATGTAGTATCCGGGAATGACAACTCCGTAGTCGCTGGGCATGTTGACAGAGAATGACTTGCCGTCACCGCCATCTTGACCGTCAAGGGGAATGCGGCGCTGGTCAGTGTTGACAGTGTGCGTGGTGGCACTGACGCGAATCATGCTGAAGGTGTACTTGCCCTCGTCCTGCATGTTGATGGTGAGAGCTGCGCCAGCCTTTACAGTCTCGTCAGACAGACTCTCGATGACGGGTCGTTTGGCAGGAGTCTTTCCATCAGCCTCAAAGAGGTACGGTGGCGACCAGAACTGTCCGTCAAACTTGTTGGCAGCGCAGCCAGCACCGCAGAGACCGCCACCGCCGGACCATATCGTGCCGTCGGCCATCAGGAGCGCGGTAGAGTGGTAGTTGCGGGGAACGGTGTGAGCGGCCGTGGGGGTGAACTTGCCCGTCGCGGGGTCGAAGAGCTCAGGGGTGAGCTGAGGAGTGGCATCCGAGAACAGGGCCATCTGCTTCATGCCGCCGACAACCCAGATCTTGCCATCAGGCATGACAACGGCGTTGGCGAAACCGCGGTTGTACTGACCATTCTGAAGCTTCTGCACTTGAACCTGTTGACCGGGCTCGCCGAGGGTGAGGATGTGAGCGTTGCTGGTGGACTGGTAGCCAGTGTAGCCCTTGCCGCCGCCATAGCTGGGAGAATGATCAGAATCGTTGTCTTAGACCGGTCATGAGACTTTGTGTATGACTTACGTGAAAATCTTTCCGGCGACGGCATCGTACATGACAGAGACGCCGCACATAGAGTCCTGGTCGGCACCACGCAGACCAGCAGGTGTGTTGGCGCCAGTGCCCTTGGTGTCGTACCAGTTCATCTGCTTGGCCGGGCCGGCCTGGAGGACAGATCCATTCTTCCATGACCACAACCAAGCGTGGCTGTCAGGGAACATGCCGAGCTGCATGACCAAAGGCTTGACTGGGCATCCGGCGAGCTTCGTCCACTTGTTGGTCGCGGTGTCGTAGATCTCTCCGTTGCGGGTGCCCGCTCCAGAGAAAGAACCTCCGATGACAAAGATCTTGCCCTCAGAACTAGTTGCGAGTTCGATAAGCATGTGCTTGGAACTTGGCGAAGGCAACTTATACTTACGTAGTGCAGCTAGACTGGTAGCCTCTGGAGATCTGCATGTTGGAGAGTGCCGTCCAGGAAGAGGACTCGCCATTCTTGAAATCAAGGACACTGGTCTTCGCGGCGCTAGAGCCTCCAGTAACGATGATACGTCCCTCGGCATCCAAGGAAGTGCCCGGGCAGAACATGTCGTGTTGAGTGTTCTGTGGTTAAGGGTCAGTCAAGTGTGCAAATAGAGGGAATTGTAGACGAGACATGATTTACCTGAATGACAGCGTCGCTCACATTGCCGGTCTGGACATTGTAGAGTGACGTGTAAGTCTTGCCATTGCCAGCGGTTGTCCATCGGTTGCTGTGTAGGTTTTGCATTAGCATGGTTCCTAATCACCTCGATGAGTTGATTAAGTTGGAGATAACATACGGCCATCCACTAGACCAGACAAGAAGGTTGCCCGACTCGGGAAGGAGGGCAACGGAGACGGGAACCACGGGGAACTTGATAAGAGGACTCCATTGCCCAAGACCTTGAGCTTCGCAGAGAGCGGCCAGCGCAAGAAGCGCAACTGGCAAGCTGCCGAAAGGAGAGTAAAGAGTGACCATCTTGAAAGAACTGACAAGAGAGATAATGAAAAGAACGAGTGTTGATGTAGAGAGTGGTGACTGGAGCGAGTGGAGATGAATGTTTGATGGTGGGCCTGAAGTCAGTAGATATACTTATATTCCAACGTCGCGAGTGAGGTGAAGATGGTAACATACTCTCACGATAGTCACTTGAGTATCTGTCATTGAGATCCAGACGCGCCTAGCCTCTATCGTCGAGTGCAAGCGCCCATGTTTCAGGCGACTGCGGTAGCGGCATGGCTTCTCTTGGCAATCTTGCAAGATCGTCCAAAGAAACAAACATGATCGGGACGTCAAGTGCAAACAATTCGAGAAGGTTTCCGCCGTCACGTCTTTGGCGCGGGGCGGGGCTAGATCCAGGTTGCGGGGAGTTGTCTGTCGCGGCAAACTTCGATGTTCCCCTGAGCTAGATCACAGGTGCTTTGACGACGGGCAATTTGGCGATGCTGTCTTTCAGTGAGCGAACGGTTGGTGGCGCTGCGCGCCTTTCCCGCCTAGTTAGAGTTAAGGTTAAGCTAATTGACCGATTGAGGCCAACGACGACCAGAATAGCTGGCGACTAGACTGCAAAAAGTTGCTGTGCCTGAACGATCGTCCTTTGTAGGTAAAGCTTCCAGAGCCACCGGCGCTAAGAAGGAAGCGCACAGCACGGCAAGCCCCGTCAAGATAGAGTAAGGTTGTAAGCTTCCCGTATTCAGGTAAGCCATCTTCGTCTTGTCAAATGAGAACTTCAAGTTGACGGACGGCTTACTTAGTCCCCTTTTACCAGCGCTTTGGCTCACCGTTCTAGAAAGGTCAACGTGGTTGGCGTGCCTGAGCACGCGCACGTCGACGCGCCTGAAGTTTGATGGAGTTGACTGGAGCCGGAAGAAAGTTCGGCGGAGGAACAATGGAAGACAGTTTAAGAGAGCTGTCTGGTACGTCTATTAGTCTGAGTTGTAATGCATTGCCTGTCATTCGTTCCAGTCCTGCCTTCTCCAGCCTTCGTCATCGATGCAACTTTGCAGAACTTTCACCTTAATTCCTAATACTCATCATAATGCGTTCATTTCGCAACTTCACATCACTCCTTCCGATCATTCTGTCGGTCATCGCAACCTCCCATGCTCACGTATGCCCGCCAGTATGAACAAAGGTTGCCGCAGATCTGAAAGCTACATTCGCTGGGTGCTCGCCCGAAGCTAGACAAGCTATCAGAGCTTCGTTCCACGATTGCTTCCCTGGCGCATGTGATGGCTCACTGATCCTGGCCAATGAGTACTTGGACAGGGAGGAGAACATCCAGATCCAACCTATCTGCGACACCCTTGGCCAGAAGGCAGTCGAGTACAGCGTTGGCACCGCTGACATGATTCAAGCGGCAGCATGTAAGAGTCAAGGATATATCAGGCATTGGTTTCACGAAATCACTAACAAGTACCACAGCACTTGCCGTTGCAGCCTGCGGTGGCCCCAAGACGTACCTCTGGGTTGGTCGCAAAGACTCCAGCGTGCCCAACCCTGAGGGCGTATTGCCTACACAGGACTCTGATGCCGCCGCCCAAATCAACGCCTTCAAGAAGAAGGGCTTTACGGCAACCGATCTTGTGGCTCTCCTTGGCGCGCACAGCGCAGGAACTAGTCTCCAGGAGCTGGCGTTCGACTCGACCCCCGACAAGCTGGACAGCACGACCTTCTACCCGGAGACTGTCAAAGAAACATCGCCCACCTCCCTTGGTAGTGACGTTGCCGTCAGCAACGCCACCGAGACGAAGAACATCTGGAAAGGCTTCGGCACGAGCCAGGCGCGTTGGAACACTGCTTTCAAGCTTGCGTGAGTGGTTTGCTAATGGCTTTGCTTCGAGAAGTCGACTAACCTTTTGTGTAGGATGGCGAAAATGAGCATCTTAGGAAACGATTTGGGCAAGCTTGCTGACTGCTCCAAATTGGTGTCATAATTGAGATCCTACCCATCGACTGTCAACTTCTTGGGACGCATGCGCGAACATGATGATGATATCTTAATGCACCTTAATAATACCCTAATAGACTTTGACCTATGTAATTAAAGAGTAGTGGCCGTTTGCTTCTTTCCATCATGTTGGTCATCGATTTGCTAGCCCCTCTATCTTCGACACCAGACGGACCTTGCCAGCAGTACCACTCGCTACACCCTGAATGAGCCCTACTTCAGAGGCTGACGCGGTATCCTTGCGGGTGTCACGACGCACAAGAACCATTTTGACGGAAAGGCACAGCCGTCAAACCGCTGTGTTCTCGACTAGGAGCTGGTAGCCGAGTAAGGGAAATAGTTGAGGCGAGTATGCTCACCGGGCTGGTGCTGCGGAGCTCAAGAGAATACCATCTGTGATTCGTTCATGTGAAAGTACGCAGTTGTAACGCGATAGTCACTTCGGTGGCCATGACTCGAGGATTGAAGTATGAATTCTAAACTGCAAATAATTGACAAGCTGGATCTTTTGAAGAGAAATGGCTGGCCAAGAATTTAGAAACAAGAATGATACAACATGGCAAGTCCCATCCCATGTTACAAGGCCCGCGAGACTACAACTTTTGCTTGAAGTACTACTACGACGCCACTGGGGCGTCGAACGCAGAACGCATACGCCAGGTTCCAAGTCCTAGATCGATGAGCTTTACTTTGCTCAACTACGAAGCGGCACAGGAGGCAAAGCATTCTTCGCCGAGAAAGGCGTCGTCCAATTGCCAAGCACGACCTTGAAATCATGGCTCCAGATGTCCCAGTGCTCAGAACGGTCAGGGTCGCCGAAAGGAATCAGGGCAGCGACGCGCATCCTATCGATTTACTGTCAATATAGGGCAGAGCTTAGACTTGGGAAGTAAAGAAGTACTCACGTGTAGTTACCAGGCCTGATCTTGTACCCGTTTGTGAATCGGCCAAGCCACCAGAACCGATACACCGAGTAGCCGTAGGCGTCACGAGATAGCTCGGTCAGCGGGCCTCTGACAATGTCGAGCTCGTTGTCAGTCTCGGGGTCGAAGACAGACACATAGTTTTCGTTGTTCTCCGCCAATGTTAGCACGACACGAACGTAAACATGTATGGGAGTGTCTTACCCAGGGAGCAGCCATCCCGATAAAACCATTCACGCCGGGCACAGGTGGATAAGTCCAGTTCTTCTCCGTCCATCCCCTCTCGAAGATATCCCACCGGACGAGTGGAGCACCCCAGCGCATGGTGATGAACAGCCGGGGGAAGTCTTGCTGTCCAATGCTCAGGTCAAACGAAAATCTAAGTAGCCGTTAGCGCATCGCAGCTGAAGGTTGGCCATGATCGCAAACTCACGTGGAATCATCTTCAATGCGGGTCATGTTCTGTGTCGACAGGATGTACGGGAAATTGTCGCTAAACATCTGTCTGAAGGTCTTTTGGACATCGGCTGCAACGCCCATGTATGGAACGGACAGCTGTTCGTCGTTGGAGCCGTTAATGAGAATCTTGCCGCTGTACACCGGCAATGCCGACGCATTGAGACCCTTAGGAGGGTTGAAGTGGAATCTGGATCACTGGGTCAGTCAATCAAGCATCTCCAAGGAGTGGAGGATTAGACCTACGTTGCTTCCTTAGTCTGGCCGGGCTCAACGGTGAACTCGCCCTCAGGAAAGGTGACGTTGATGGGCACTTCGATGGGAGCAAAGTCTATCCCCAAACCGGGACCTGAGGCGAAGTCAAGTCTGCCAGTCAACGCCTCAAAAGCTCCGGCGGCCTGATGAGAGAACTTGTAGGTAATCGGCTCGGTGCAGTTGTTAGTAATGTTGACTCGCTGGCACGACTCAAAGTGAGCCGTGTCATTGAGTGCGAACTTGGCCCAGGATAGCTCTGTCTGGTACTCCAAAACCTTGGTGGCATTCACCAAGCCAGTGCCAAGCTGGAAGATGGGGGCATATGTACCGTAATCCGTCACATTGGTGCCGTCCGACCAGCCAAGGGAGTCACCACTGGACATGATCCGAGCTGCGAGCTTCTTGGCGAAGTCCGGGCCGTGGACCCATCTCCCGCCATACTTGCCAATGTAGAGCGCTGCAATGCCCGCGACGTATGGCGTCGCCATCGAAGTTCCCGACTTGAGCCCGAATCGACCATGCGGCAAGGTCGAAAATATGTTGCTACCAGGCGCTGCGATATCAGGCTTGATGCTCAAGTCGTAGAGACCACCCAGAGAAGTGAAGTATGAGGCGACAACTGTGGGGTTCTTCATGTTGAGAAGGGGCAACTTGTCCTCTTCGAAGAACCTGGCGTGGACGGTGACGCCGTCGGCCAAGGCCTTGGTGAGAGCGATTCCTTCTTCTTGACCAATGATGCCGTCAGCACCTCGAGTGTCCCAATTGTCAGGCAGGGGAAATATCTTCTCATCGTTGAAGAAGAGCACATGCTCAGCGCCGGCAGCGAAGAGAACGTAGCGCTTCGTAGCTGCGCTGCAGCCTCCGCGAGGGACCACCACCAGAGCATGGGACAAGTCGACGTCCTCGGGGAACTTGTTACATCCTACGGTAACGTTCTTCGGATCCGTTGTCAAAGCGATGACCTGCAGTGTTCCGTTAAGCGGGAAGTTGTGCGTGAGAGTGCCAGAGAAGAAGGCCCATGTAGCTGTGCTCTTGTGCTCCCCATCGTTGAACGTAACTTCGAATGGCAAACCAGGAACGTTGTCTGGCTCAGTCGAAGCGATAGCGAGGACGTTCTTGCCAGACATACCATTGTCAGGGAAGAAGAGTCCACTCTCTCCATCGTTGCCAGCCGAGATGGTCACTATCACGCCTTGGTCAACCATACGAGAGGCAACCTCTGCCCACGCATTGTTGGCGAAGCCTCCACGGCCGCCAATTGACGAGGTGATGATGTCCGCCTGTGGGAAAGTTAGTAAGGTGCGCCGGAGTATGGGACCCTGACTTACTCCATCAGCGAGTGCTCGCAGGAACGCGTCGATAAGTGTTTCTTCATCCGTCTGGCCACTCTGTTCATCAAATATCAACGGGTGCATCGGTTTGCATGCGTCAGTGAACTTACATCGTTGTCGCCAAAGACCTTGTAGGATAGAATATTGGCTTCGGGGGCAACACCCTGCCAACTAAGCGGGGTCAGTCAAGGGTTGAAGCGGTGGACATCGCTACATCAGTCCATACCTGTCAAAATTTCCAGCAACAATGCCAGAAACATGGGTTCCATGGCCATTACTGCCTCCTTCCATGGGGTCATCATCCGGATTCTTGTCAAAGCCTTGGTCAGGCCAGTCTTTCACAGATGTCAGCGATGCCGGGTAAGTTGTGAATGGAGATGCTCTTACAAGAAGAACCAATCAGATCGTAACCGCCGATGACCTTGAATCCGGGACCAAAGCCTCCGCCAAGCTACGTGTCCCAAGTCAGTGCCTGAGGAGTAACTAATACGAAGTCAAAGGCCTCACCGCAGGATGGTTATAGTCAACACCAGCATCCACAACAGCGACCTTGACGCCCTTTCCCAGGATGCCAGCCTCATGGAGCTTGTTGACACCAGTCATGTTGTGGATGGAGTAGTTTGCGGCAGACACGGCACTGCTGAACTCCCTGCCGTTCTCAACAGTGGCCATCTCGATCCGTCTTGATTGCCACACATTGCCGACGTTCTGCAAGATGCGAAGAGTATCTTCATTCTCAATGGTAGTCTCAATACTGACGCCAGTAAAGATTTCGCTCTCAAAGGTCTTGTAGAGCTTCGTGCCTTCCCGAGTTGAGAGCTCCGAGGTCAATCTCTCCAAGTCCGAGTCCTGAGCGGTCACATGTTAGCATCTCGTGATGTCATCCGAGACATGGGTCTTCTATGAGGATCACTCACCTTTGACAACTCGAGAATGAATCGTTTCGTGCCTCCGACGAGGGGAACCTTCTTTTGAGATTCTCCCGTGACTCCGAAAACGGCAGAGCCAACGCCCGCGAGGGACAGAACCGCCAGAACAGTTGTCAGATGCATGTCCGCTGAAGTAAGCCCTCAATGACCTTGATCTGTGACTTGAACTGGCAAGAGGAAGAATAAAGTCCGGCTTTCGCGTCTAGATATGTGAAGAGGGATTCCCGACTTCTGGCCCAGGTGGGTGTACGGCCTCAGGTGCTCGTGTGCGATTCCGGGGTGGAGGGAACCTGCATTTTCGTTTCGTTCAAACAGACCCATGCAGAGAAACAAACAGCAATCTACAGGGTTACTACGAACAGACAGACTGGGGCCATTGGGTCGTTTATTACTTTTTAGAAGTGCCAATGGAGTCGCAAGGCAGCTTGAGACATACCCATCCGATATTGCCCCAGCTTTTGAGAGCATCCCGTTAGCTCTCACATTTCGAAAAGAGGCTGGAATGACATCTCCATCGTCGCAAGACTTCAAGCCGACTGGGAAACCACCTGAAGCTTCGTACCTGATCTCAACCCCGCTCGTCGTCCGAGCTATGCATTGAAAAGGGATGAGGTAGTCTCCCGAATCTGTACCCGATTCTCGTAGCATGCGTAGCACATCCGCAGGTTAACATGCCATCGACTCCGGCAACACTTGCCCGACAAACTAGGCAAAAAAGCAAATAACGATTCACAGAAACGGGTAAAGATGCGTTGATGTGATGAAGAAGGACCACGGCGGTAGGACGAGGCGATTGCTGGATGCAGGTCGACGACTAGGCCCGATGGTAGCACAGATCTCGCTCCGCATTTCGTTGTCAACAAGTCGAACGAGGGACGTCGACGTGTGTTGCACACATGCACTTGAGGCACGCCGTGCAACATGGCTCCCGTCGACGTGGGGTCTCTATCCGCGTCTCCGTCCGCGTCTCCGCAAAGAAGAGGCCGGAAACGGATGCAGGTTGGACCTCTTGTGAGCTGTTTGTAGAAAAGACGATACCCGAGACATAACGTGGTGCCTAAGACGCAACGGACCGTTTCCGTGCTGATCCCCTCAATTCAAATTAAATTCCCGACATCCTTGAAAGGCTAATGATCATGATTAGTTCAGTTTGTCACTTGGAACGGTAACGAGCAGGCTGTTTGGCCAGGATATACGGCTTCTTGGGAAACGAGGGTACTGATGAACGCAAAATCTTGTTTTTCTTCATTTCTTTCCCGACACTCTTCCCTTGAGCTTGCCCAAAAGCCGACCTAACTTGGCTTTGAGCACCGGGCTCGGGCCTTCATCGGCGCCGACAAGTCTCCGGACTAAGATATTATACATGCCGCCGAAAGCGAGGGCGATCGCTGTTGACGTGAAAATGATGACATTGTAGGGCATGCTGAAATCCGGTGTCGGGAGGTTCAGCAGCAGGGTCGTTGTCCGCGTGCTTTGTGTGCGCGGGCTGAGAGTGGTAATGACGGCAGCGGCAATGTCGAAGCCGCGGTTGGCGTCAGGAGGGTACTCGGTGTATCGGAGAATGGACTTCTCAAAGTCGTAGGTAAGGAAGACTGTGGAGGCGGGAGGAATGCGCATGCGCAGCTCGAGCTGTGTGCCCCTGGCGCGATCCACGGCTGGACGGTAGTAAATGTCCTCGATGATGGACGGCTGGGAGCCAGCTGAGCCCTCGATCCTAGCGTTAAGGGTATGCAGATAGACCCTCATGAACCAAGGCAGAGATTCCATGTAAATGAACTCCACCTCGGTGTCCTTGCTGGGGTTTGTCAGGATAGCCTGCATGCCACCGTGCTCCTGCCCATGGCCGGTGAAACTTCGCTCGGCGTAAATCAGAGGGGTGGCCGGCTCCACAAGCTCGTCCGCAGCATCGTGGCCTTCCTTATTCTCAAGAGGCAAAACGATCTCCAACTCCGATTCATGACCGAACTTAAAGCACCGCGATACTCCGTTGGGATTGAGGATCTCTGTAGCACCTCCCGACGTGAAAACTCCCCTCGAATGGGGGACTTCGATACACACCGGGGGCACGTCCTCGTCAGTCAAAGGGCAGACCCCCTTGACCGTCTTCCCGAACAACTGGGACAAAGTCCAGTCTTGGCCAAGGCTGTGACTGATAGGATAGCAAGTATCGTCTGAGTGGTAAGGCTTCGATGTGTCGCACTTGAGCTCGTGACCGGGAGGAGGGCGGGGAATCGGATTGTCTCTGGGTCGCTTGGAGCGGTCGATATCCAGGACCATGTCGATTGTTTGCTCGATCTGTAGAACGCACTCCTGCCCCTCGGGGCACACAGGCTTGATGTCGATGGCCATGCTCTGGAAGGAGGAGTCGAACAACTTGTGGCCGTCGAGTAAGCTCGAGATGCCCGCCTTGCCCTTGCACGGAAGCAGCTTCAGGAAAGGCGTCAGGTTCTCCGTGCAGACGACCTCCTTCGGGAGGACGCCGTGCAGAAGCTGCATGTTCGGTATGGAGGCTTCGGGGTGATCACCCTCGGGCTGGAATGACATGACCGGTCGCGTGGTTCGTGTTCCGTCGACGAAGTTCAGAGATGCGCAGAAGAGACCCGAGAGGGCATTGGTGAGGGTCAACCACTTCTGATCGGCTCTGAGCAAGGTTAGTTTCAATCGGACGAGAAAGCCACCAAGCAACATACTCCTCATCCGTCTCTGCCTCCAGCCAAGCCCACAGCTCCACGCCTGTTCCGCCCTCTCGCTGACCATCCCAAGGCCGGCCTCCCCAGCTTTCAGCGTCCCATCGTCCCAAGCTAAACCTCAAGTGCAGTTCGCGAGTGCCAGCATATTGCAGAATCTGTCCGAGCGAACGGGGAAAGTAGCGGAAGTTTTGCGACTCGAAGTCAGCCAGCGACGTGTTGGACCGGAAGTTGAAGCTCGCCAGCAGGGCAGAAAGGGGCAGTGGCCGGAGGTTCAGCTGCTCATGGTAATCCGCAGCCGTGCCGAAAGCAGCGAAGCACAAGAAGAGAAGGGCCGCCAGTAACTGGCGCATTTTGAAAGAGTTTCGCGCAAGAGAGTGACGTCTGCTGGCTTTCGCTCTCCCCTGCTCGGCCAGCGCATGGATGGCCCAGGAGGTCCCTTAGAGTCGCGAAGGGTGCTGGTGGTGTAGGTGGCTACCTGGAGGGATGCGGGTAGGCGGTGGGTATTGGCAGAATTATTTACGTAACCTTAGCTTCCATTTACGCTTGAATTTCCATGCACCTAGCTCTCCACATTCCGCCCCAAACTCCCATTCGGCGCGTCACGCTCTTAAGCATTTCTTCCCCATAATCTCGCGACAATCGCTCTTATTCTTAGACCCAGCTACCCTGACAAAAGCTCGACGACGCCAATTGACACAACATCATGGCCGCGGAACAAAGAAAGCTGCTCGAGCAGCTCATGGGCGGCTCGGCCACCACGCGATCGGCCTCGCTGTCCATGACCGACCCCAAAGTCTGCAGATCTTTCCTCGTCGGCACATGTCCTCACGATCTCTTCACAAATACCAAGCAGGATTTGGGTCCCTGCCCAAAGCAGCACTCGGAGGCGCTGAAGGCTGAGTACGAGGGCCTGCCTGACAAGGACAAGCAAAAATATGGTTTCGAGTACGACTACATGCGCGATCTGCAAAAGTATATCGACGACTGCAATAGGAGAATAGACGCCGCCCAGCGCAGGCTCGAGAAGACACCGGACGAAATTAGACAGACCAATGCTTTGGTATGTTCCCATCTGGGATTTTCTTTTTGCGCGGAGGCGCATGCTAATTATGTCTGCAGTTGAGAAGCATTGCCGACCTGTCATCCACGATCCAAAACGGCACCCTTGAAGTCGAAATCCTCGGCGAGATGGGTGAAGTTTCCCGTTCAATCGACGAATTCTATCGCGTGCGACAGGCACAACAGACGAAGCTGGACCGCGAGAAGGAGTTGAAGGCATTGTCCGACACCTCAGGTCCGTCTGGCCACCAGAAGCTACAGGTATGCGACGTGTGTGGCGCCTACCTGAGTAGGCTCGACAACGACCGCCGCTTGGCCGACCACTTTTACGGAAAAATGCATCTTGGCTACGCTCAGATGCGCAAGACATACGAGGCCTTCCCCAAGGAAATGCGCCACCGAAGGGCGCCCGTAGAAGATGACGGCATGGGCCATGGTGGCCCGAGGGGTCCTCGAAGCGGTGGCGGCTACCGTGGGCGCGGTGGCAGGGGATACCGCGGAGGGTGGTAGGACCCAGATCACTCGGTACCATCCTTGGATGCCTCATTACCATACTCAGATTCCTCGCAACCACCGTCAGATCCTTCAGTACCATCCTCACCTATCACGAAGACCCAACACAGAGGACAAACAGACGACGAAACAGATGGCAACGCGGAGGACAATGCAGAGAATGAAAGCCAGGCGGGGGACTCTATATCATGGCGAGAGGGACTGAGAGGAACAGTTACCATCTCCGCAAAGCTGATCTCCTCTTGCAACGGCCAACCCCAATCACCTGACGACCGATGGCACTACCCGTTGGCTTACCGGCAAGGCTCCAAGTCAAAAATGGACATCGGCGGGCCTTTCCTACGGGTATCGTCAACCGATGACTAGGAAGCTCAACCAAAAAGGACCGCAACACGGTTTTCGACATTGCTTTTATCAGAATGCACAGTAACGTGGGTGACGAACCACTGGAGTTCATTGTTGTCCATACTAAGTCTTTTAGGCCTCGACCACGGCATTGGAGCACGGCGCAAGTCAGAACAGCTTTTTAAAAAAACACACGAGGTCTACCACCCAGGCACATTTGAGACTTCGGGGCCGGCGGCATTCATGGGCAATTATGTATTTACGCTAATAACGGGCTTCTACATTTTCAAATGCCCATAGTCGCCCACCTGCAACGGGGGCAAATGCTACAAAGCGCCCTCATAATTTTACCCACCCGCTGCTACTCCTGCTGCGTGACAATGTTTAGTATGCCGTCATTGTTTTCATGATCCGCTCAGTGCGTATTCCAAGGCACAAAACTTGATGTGCTCATACATGTCGCCTCTGGAGATGATCCAAGACGAATCCTCAGTGGGTATCTCAAGCGTCTCGGGCTTCGTGAGCTGTATCGTCCTTCCTCTTGATATTGAACCCGTACGCTTCGGCAAGGGTGTGGAATTCCTCGGCGCTAAGAGGGTTCGTCTCAGATTTGTCGGCTTCGGTGCGTCGGAATGCCTCCTAGGCTTGAGCGTCGCTCTTCATCTTCGCATCCAAAGCCTCCATCTCATCGTCCCATCGGCCGAGAGGTGACAACACAGGTGGCGAGGTCTCTCCAGTCTTGCCCTTTCCAGGAAGAGCGGGGAACTCCTCCGTGTTGATAGCGGGCGCCTTCGCCTCCGGCGCAGAAGGCTTCGCGTCACGGGTCCCGTTTGACACAGGTTCCCTGTGGTCTCTGGGGGCGAAGTCATCGCCATAGCCACCGCGTCCACCTCGTCCACCACGTCCACGACCCCTGCCGCCGCCACGGCCACGACCACCCCTGCGGTCGTCGCGGTCGCCGTACCTGTCCTGCCTCTCACCCTCATCGCCATCATTAGCAAACCTGCTGCCAGAGAGACCCGCAGACCTAGCCCCCCTGATCCCCCCGTTCGCCCCGCGGAAGCCCCTCCTCTCCTCCTCCGCATTAAGCGCCTCCTTGCCCTCGTCCCAGCCGCCCTCCTTCATGCTCATCGCCTTGAGCTTCCGCTCGCGGTTCTTGGCCCTCTCGTCGTCCATGCGCTTGCGCTCCTCCTCGCCGCGCTTGCGCTTCTCCTCCTCGATCTTCTTGCGCTTGCGCGCCTCCTCCATGCCGCGCGCGTAGGCCTCCGCGTGGTTGCGCTCGTCCTGCTCCGCCTGCTCGAACTTGCGCGTCTTCTCCGCGTTGAGGATGCGCATCTGCTCCATCTTGGCCGCCAGCTCCGTCTCCGTGAGCTTCGTGCGCGGGTTCGCGCCCGACTGCAGGCGCGCCTCGGCGTTGAGGGCGGTGTTGCCGCCCGGGCCGGCGGGCGCGTGTTGCGGCTTGTCGCGGGGCGGCGCGGGCGAGGCGGATTTGTTCGCGGGCGCGGTGGGAGGAGCTGGTTGCTGTTGTTGTTGCTGGGTCTGGGCAGCTGGGCCAGTCGGTGCCTGGGGAGGAGGCGCGGCGGCGGCCGGGGTGGTGGTTGTCGTGGTGGTGGGTGCTGCTGCGGCGGGAGCTGGGGCAGGAGCGGGCGCGGGGGCCTGTTGGCGGGGGGGACGCGGGGCAGGTGCGGGCTTGTTTGTGTTGAATCGCGAGTTTGCCAGGCCGCGGGGCGCGGTTGGCGCTTTGGCGGGAGGCGGAGGAGGCTTCTCAGCTGCGGCGGGTTTCGGGGGAGCAGGTTCGGGTTTGGGTGGCTCGACGGGCGGTGTCGCGACGGCGGCGGGAGGAGGAGGAGCAGCGGCGACTGTCTCTACAGGTTGCGAGTCTGCCACGGGCTCGAAGTCGTCGAAGAAGAGGTCATCGTCGGTGCGGCCGCCAAACTGATCGTCCATGGTGAAAGAATTGGTATGGGTATCGATGCTTTTGTCTTGTTTCGAACGAAAGAAAGTAGGGGGAAGAAAATTAAGAATTGGAGCAAACACAAGATTGGCGATGTTGACTCGAAGCTCTTGGGTTGGATTGGAGGATTGCGAACCATGTCGGATTGGGTAAGTGGGGGGTCCCATGTGCGGCACGGATAGGTTGGCAGTGGCAGCCGGGATCATGTCGGGCCGGCGCTGTTTTGGAGGACCGTGTCCCGGCACAGTATCTCACACCTCGATGTTCAGACTCATTTGTCAAGGTAGGTAGGTATCTTGGGTCTGCTGGAGCAAGCTCACCGGTGCTGCATTTGCTAGGAGCTTCTTGCTTGTTTCGTCTTAGTTCTCTAGCCTCCGAACCAACTCATCACGCAGGTCCTCATAGCTCTCCAATAACGGAACACCGAACCTAGCACACACCACCTGGACATTGCCCCTCTTCTTATAGCCCTCAGGACAAGCGACGATGGCCTTCCCAGACCGCGCGCACAACCCCAACTCGAGTAAGCTGATGTGGGCTTCAGTCCCAGGCTCAAAGTAGACAATGACGATGCTTGCGCGCTCCTGCATCTCCAGTTCCCACTCGACCTGCTCCTTGAACCTCGTGTCCGATATGTCTTCCCTCCATGTGCTGTCCCAGTCGGGCCGGAAGGGATTGAAAATGGTGATAGGGAGGTGGGCGATAGATTCAATCAGATCTTTGCGCCAATCCCTTTTGCTGGTCGTTCCGGCGAGGAATACAGATTTATCCGCGGGTTCTGGTGCGGAGGGCTTGCTTAAAGGCAAGATGACCCTGCTCTGGCTTGACGAGACGTCTTGCATGATGTCTCTCTGGCCCGTTGCCATTGTAGGTGGAAAGTCTTGAGCGATATGTGAAACGATATAAACAACCTTGCAGACGAAGTCCTGATGCTGTAGATGTCAGTTGAATCCTGAAAGCATCTCAAATCCGGAAGGAAGCCCGTTTGACGCCAGTCAGCCTTAATTTAGCTGGCAGTCATCAGCGAGCTCTTCCATTGGCCATGGTTTCCTGTGGGTGCGGGAGCCATCGTAAGTGGCCGAAGGTAACGCACTCGTGCAACCAACAGATGATCCACCATGGCTTGATTTTTAGAGACCGGCATCTATCGCTTGCTGCATCTCGAAGTCAGCTGAGCCAATATTGCCAGCAATATCTGGCAACATCTTGCCGGCAACACCAACACTAACAGGGAGCAATCCTATCGGCAAGAAAACGGAAGGCCGCTTCAGCTACGGCAACCCCCTGCGCGGCTCGGATCCCCTAGTTGAACAGCCTGTCCAGTATTCTGTTTGCATCCCCGGGAGCACGCGTGTTTTCCTCCAATAGGGCAGACGCCGGGGGGATCGCTCGGAAGATCACCATACGCACCCTGGATTGGGGCGCACCGCAGCCTGACCGACCACTGTTTATCTTGCGGTGAGCCGGCCCAGACACGCGGGTCTCTGAGGCCCTTGGCCCTCCAGCCGGTATTCCTTCTTCTCTTGTCGGCGAGCGTCCCGGATCTGTCTCAGCCGGCGTGTGTCACTTGGCCCAGAGCCAGAGGCTAGGATTTCCACTGGCTAAACTGGGCCATGGAGGAGGAACAGAGGAGGGACAGCTTCAGGTCGGCCCCTTGGCGCCCAACGATCCAATGCGGGCGTCCAGATATTTAATACGGGCTGTGAAATCACGCAACCGATCTCGGCCCTCCGGATGTCCCTTAAGTGCTCCCCGGCCGTCGTCTTCCTAATCTCGTTTCTAGACAGAATCATACCTGAAAGCTGGCCTTTTGTTTCTATTCGAGTCTTATCGTTTGATTGACCTGACTCCCCGAGCGTATGATACCATCCCCTCCAATGTTGCGTCATGAAGCGGTGAGAGAGACAAAGCGTCCAGAGCTGCCGTACAAATAGAGAGCTCCCCACCGAGTTGGACGACAATAGCCAGAGGAGCCACACATCGATCTAGTTGGCCCATTATCGATTAAGCAGAGAACAGAAAGGAGCCGTCACACAGGCAAGCAGATGGCTGTGGTTTTTGAGTCAGGAGGGGGACACACTCCAGGGGACGACTGCGAGGGGTGCCGCAAGATCCAGGACGAGCTGGTTGAGCTGTCTCCCGAGTCAGAAGAGTCTTCGGAATATGAAGATGGTGAGTTCTGTTCGCGTATGCTCCAATCTCCATGACTACCACCGACGAAGCCCCGTTTGCGACAGAAGACGAGTGTCTTGAGGAGAGAGAAGTAGACTGTCACGAGACGCCTTTCGCATCTCGGCGACCAGTGTCACGCTGGTTCCTGGGAATCCCCTGAAAATACAGCAGTGGACCCCGCAGCAGCGGGAGCTAGAGCCCGAGAACTGCAGCACCGATCCACCCAACCCAGAAGTCTGGAGTCTTTCGCTCCGGGGGATCCACGCTAGGGGTGCACCTGGAAAGGCGAGACCTCGAGAGCGCAGCGCGTCCCAGGTCCCCCCTCTAGCGCATTTCGTCATTCGCCATTTTCGTTGCGATACCGCAGCGGTGGCATTTTAGGGGACCCTCCCAAAAGATATGCGTCACACCATCAGCCGACGCCAGCCCAATTTCATCTACTTGTCTCAATTTCCTCAACGGGCTGCCACATTGGCAAAGAAAAGACGAAAAACGCACATTCGTCTCGTTCCATTCTTGTCCAAAGTCTGCCCTTGGGTACTTGCCTTCAAGAGACACGCACATTGCTGACGCACGCTTTCCTCCCGCGCCCCAGAAGACACGATGCCCTCCGCCATCGCGGCCTCCGACCTCTCGACGAACCTGAGCGACACGGATGACTGCGGCACGGTCGCCCCCGAACTTTTCCACAACCTCAAGCACGACAGCTCTGTCCTCTGTCTCGCTGTCAGCGCCGAGCAGGAGCGGATATACGCCGGCACGCAGGATGGCGAGATTGTCGTGTGGTCGCTGGCCACCTTCCACCAGGAGCGCATCGTGCAGGCGCACAAGCGCAGCGTCCTGAGCCTGTACCTGACACCCGACGGCTCGATGCTGTTCTCTAGCGCCGGCGACCCGCTGATCAACGTGTGGTGCCCGAAGACAATGAAGCGCCTGTACGAGATCTACAGTACCTACGACGTCGGCGACATTTTCTCCGTCGCCTACAGCGCGCAGCACGAGACGGTCTACGTCGGCGCGCAGAACACCTCCATACAATGGGTCAGCTTGTCCGACCCGAACAACAGGGTGCCTCACGACTCGTCACAGCACCCCGACCGAAGGAATCACAGGTTTTTTGACTCGAGGGCTGCAGGAGGATCAACGACGCCGCGTCGTACCGACGAGCGGTGGACCCAGATTCCTAGGTCGGAGAAGGTCGTCGAGATTCACCCGGGAGCGCTGCAGATGTTTGCGCACTACGGCTACGTATACTCGATGCTGATGGCGAAAGGCCCGACGGTCCTGGTGGAGCCTGACGAAGAGGTTTTGATCTCCGGAGGTGGCGACGGAACGATTAAGCTGTGGAAGCTCGGCGCCGAGGGAGATAAGCAAGCTGAGGAGAGCGACCGGGAGCCGGGTCTCCAGGAGCTGATGTCACTTGGGTCTGATGATGCCGAGTCGGTCATGTCTTTGGCCATTGACGGCTCGTTTCTCTATGCAGGAAAACTGCAGGGCATCATTGAGCTGTGGGACCTCGATACCAAGTCCAAGCTGAGGGTGATCAAGAGCCACAAGGGCGACATCATGACCCTACAGATGAACTGGGGATATCTCTTCAGTGCTTCAAGATCAGGATCCGCAAGTGTACGTTCGCACGTTTCTTCCCATGGTTCGCAACTAACTTCTGCAGAAACACTCCACTGTTCACTACGGCAAATACAAAGACACCCAGACCGCGAACATCAGCCAGAAGTACCAGTGCATAGCTCGCTGGAAAGCCCACGAGGGCAAGGTCCTCGCATCCGCAGTAACGACATACAACAACAGGCAATACTACATCACAGGCGCCAATGACAACGACGTAGCCATCTGGAACATCGACTGTTCATCATACGAGCAACAGCAAGACGTGGATGAGGCAGACGATGTCATGGTCAAATCATTGGGAGAATTCGTCTCGTATCGCACCGTCTCCTCGCGACCGGAATTCGCAGAAGACTGCCGAAAAGGAGCGACTTTCCTTGGCTCCCTGTTCAAGCGCCTGGGTGGTCAGGTCGAGATGCTGAGCACGGAAAGCAGTCCCCACAACCCAGTCGTCCTCGCCAAATTCAACGGCAAGCTCGAGCCAGCTGAGAAGCGGAAGAGGATCTTATTCTACGGTCATTACGATGTCGTGCCGGCAGACAATAAGAAGGGCAAATGGGAAACCGACCCGTTCCAAATGAAGGGCATCAACGGCTATCTTCATGGCAGAGGCGTCAGTGACAACAAGGGACCTATCATGGCCGCCCTGTATGCCGTCACAGACCTTCTCCAAGCAAAGAAGCTCGCCAACGACATAATTTTCCTCATTGAGGGCGAAGAAGAGTCCGCCTCTCGCGGTTTCAGGGAGATCGTCCGCAAGAACAAGGACCTCATCGGCGACGTGGACTATATTCTACTAGCCAACAGCTATTGGCTCGACGACGAGGTTCCCTGCCTCACATACGGCCTACGTGGCGTTCTTCACGCCACAGTTTGCGTCGACTCTCACTTACCTGATCTCCACTCCGGTGTTGACGGTTCATACATGAACAACGAACCCCTCTCCGACCTTACGTCCACACTGTCCAAACTAAAGGGTCCTGGAAACAAGGTCCTCATCCCCGGCTTCTATGAAAGCATCTTGCCAGTAACTGCCGAAGAAGAAACCCGCTACGATGAGATCGCGTCGACTCTAATGCGCCAGAACCCTGAAAAGGGTCCTGAGGACAAGCTCAAGACGGCGCTGATGGCCCGCTGGAGAGAACCTAACCTGACTATCCACCGATACAAGGTATCTGGCCCGGACGGCAGTCTAGTCAGTAGCCACGCAAGCGCAAACATCAGCTTGCGTCTGGTGCCTGGTCAAGAAGTCAACGATGTCATTGCCTCCCTGAACACTTATTTGGAGTCCGAATTCGGGCTACTCGAGTCCAAGAACTCGCTGTCCATCAAGATCGATAACAAGGCCGAACCCTGGCTTGGCGACCCCAGCAACGAGATCTTCCAGGCACTCGAAGAAGCCATCGTAAAGGCTTGGGGTGATGTTTTCGACACCGGAGATGCCAACAACGGAGAAGAAACATCGCAAGAGAAGAAGAAGGCACAGAGGCCAAAGAAGCCGCTGTACATCCGCGAGGGTGGCTCCATCCCCGCCATCCGCTTCCTCGAGAAGGAGTTCGGCGCCCCGGCTGCCCATCTGCCCTGCGGCCAGTCCAGCGATGGCGGTCACTTGGACAATGAGCGACTAAGAGTGATCAACCTTCTGAAGAGCAGGGAAATCATTGGTTCTGTCTTTGCGCGGTTGTAGCACATATCTATCAAAAAGAGGGCGTTCGAGGGGTGATTAAATAAAGGATTCTGGATTGTAAAACATAGAAAGGATACCCAAAAATCAAAAAGCATTCCTAGAAGCACACGCACCGCGTTATCTGTATTGCGAAATGCTTGACTCGCACCGTTGCTCCAAATGTCGCCTCCAACCTCCCCATTGACGTGATCCGAACTTCGGCCTCCCGGTGCCGATTCCCACCGGAGAGCTTCCCGGATTGGGCTTTCCGGCTTATCTTATCTTATCAACTACACCCGGTCAACTCCCCCGACGTCGTCTCAAGCTGGCATCTCTCACACAACATTCCCCAGTCTCATAAAGCGCTCATCCTGATGTATTGAATGTTTTCTGGATCTCACCGCATCTCACAGACCTGAAAATGGAGTACAAGCGCCAATCCCCGACGGCCGTCAAGGTCAAGCCGCGCCTCATCATCCACGGCGGCGCGGGCAACATCAAACCCGCCAACCTCGCGCCGCCGCAGTACACCGAGTATCGCGCCGCCCTCTTGACAATCGTACACACATTCCTCCTCCTCACCCTCGAAGTCAGAACTAACAGAGGAATTACAGATCAGCAAGACAAACGCCTACATGACAACCCCCACCACCACAACCGCAACCGCAGCCCTGCCCAGCGCCCTGGAAACAGCCGTCCACGCCGTCACCCTCCTCGAGAACAACCCGCTCTTCAACTCGGGCCACGGCGCCGTCTTCACGCGCGACGGGATCAACGAGCTCGAGGCCAGCGTGATGGTCACCCGCGGCTTCGCCAAGCGCGGCGTCGGCGTCACAGGCCTGCGGCACGTCAGGAACCCGATCCTGCTCGCCAAGGCGATGCTCGAGCACGGCGAGGCGGACCTCGGCGGCGGCAGCGACTCGCACCCTTCCTCCTCTGAGATCGACGCGCCGTCTGCGCAGGGACACACGCTGTTGCACGGCCCGACGGCAGAGGTGCTTGCGGAGAAGTATGGGCTGGAGCTCGTGGAGCCGGGGTACTTCTTCACGCAGCGGCGGTGGGACGAGCACATCCGCGCGCTGGAGCGGGAGCGCACTGGCGAGGAGGGGAACGCGACGTGGAGCAGGAGCGAGTTCCTGCCGCAGGGGACGGTGGGGGCGGTGGCGCTGGACGAGGAGGGGGTGGTGTGCGCGGCGACCTCGACGGGCGGGCTGACGAATAAGTTGACGGGCAGGATTGGGGACACGCCGAGTGTGGGCGCTGGGTTTTGGGCGGAGGAGTGGGTGGAAGAGGGGGATCCGACGGGTGTGTTTGGGAAGGGAGGCTTCGGCTCTGGGGGGGTGATGTTGTCGGAGAGCTTGAGGGGGTTGATGGCGGATTGTCTGCCTTCATTGAGTGTTTACACGCCGGCGTTTGGGAAGGCGGTGAAGACTACGAGAGCGATCGCGGCGTCGGGGACGGGGAATGGGGACTCGTTTTGGAGGGTTGCCGCGGGCAGGACGGTTGGGGCTGTGGCGAGGTTTAAGCCCTTGTCGGGCAAGGAGGCCGTGTCGTTCGTTGCTGGAGCCGGAGGGGAGTTGCAGAGGAGTGCTGGAGACCGGTGGCGGGTTACTGGCGAGGGCGAGGGCGGGATTATTGGCATCGAGGTTGCGGTTACGAGGGACGAGGAAGGCGGTGTTGTCGGTGTCAGGTCGGAGATTCTGCAGGATTTCAACTGCAATGGGATGTATCGGGCGTGGATCGACGACGAGGGTCTGGCGCACGCGAAGATTTACCATGACGAAGTCGAGGAGGGCGTGGATGCTCGGCTGTACGCGGAGAAGTGGTGATGATGCGGTGTAGAAAGACAGACCTAAGATGAGCAGTGCGAGACGTAGAACGCAAAAGTAGACAGATGGCGAGTTGAATATCAGTACAATTCCTATTCACACAGATTCCATACTCGTGTCAAAAGGGGAGAAGTCCGCCGTATCCCTTCTATCTCGGATCATGACCCAGGCCGTTTCCAAACGTCAGATAGCCCGTGTCGATCTGTCCCAAGATTGCCATCCCCCAATTTTCGTCCGGTTCAGGAAATCCACGAAGAGATTCTCCCCAGAGTCTCCAGTCCCGGTTGACTGGAGCCATTTGTCTATACTACATGGAACGCCTCCCCCTGCCGCATAGCGTGATTTTGGTCGATTAAAAAACAGAAGTCGTCGGTCGTGGTAAAGACAGATTTCAACATCCCCCACGGAAAAGAAGGTTGAACTACAAGAGTAGAGAGTGGTCGGTTGCGTCGTCGTTTCGTTGGCGGCGTGGAAGCACCGCTTCGGTTCGTTGACAGATTCAGAAGCATCATGGGCAGCCTTAGACCATGGCGCCGTCTGACGGAGGAGGCTGGGGCATCTTTGAGGCCTGAGGTCAGTACATTCTGGGCGTTCCGATGCTGCTTGGCTTGCGCAGAAACTCACCTCTAACTTGGTCGAGCCCGCAAACATCTTCTGGAATCCGATACCGACACCCTCGATGACAGCCAAGAGAACTGCGCATCCTGTGCACCATTTTGTCAGCAAGAAATATTTTGACAGCGTTTGTGCTTGTACTAACCGATGGCACCATTCCTGGCAGCCTGTTTTCGTTGTGTTAGATATGTCAATTCGTGCGGAAGGTTGTCTTAAACAACACCCATCGCCCGCATCCCCGAGCGACATCAGATCTGCCAGTAGCTGGCTGCACATCTCCCAAGGCCCAAGGGCTGAGACATACGCAGGGAAGACCATCAGCCCGCCAGGGACAGTACTAGAGAGCGCGGTAGAAAATGTACCGGCCAGTGTGGCAGAGAATGCCAACAACTGGTAGGCCTTTGCAATGTGACCCTGGGGCGCGGAGGGTGGGCGGTTCATCGCGGAGGGGAAAAGACTGACCTTGTATCCGCCTCTGATGGCCAAACTTCCTCCTGTAAAGAATCCAGCGATTATGGCGTTCTGTCCTATTAGCATTCATTCCGGCAATGTTCTTTGGCATATTGAGGGATGACTTCAACCACTGCTGGGTGCTTGCTTCACGTCTCTCTGGCACAATCTCTATCACACTCTCTGGCACCCTGCTCTAGCACTCGAGCAGACCTATGTCCTCTGCTGGACCTAGGCTCTCTGGCTGGCCTGGGCCCTCTAGGTGAAGTAAAGGATATCCTTTACCTGAACTATGCCCTCTACCTACCTTAAGTCCTCTAGAGGGACCAGGTCAAACAGAGGGCATCCAAGGGGCATACCTTCGGTAGACTCAGGAGACTACCTAGAGTACTAGAGAGCGTGCCGGAAAGCGTACCGGAGAGCGTACCAGAGAGCCGTAAAGCATGCAGCTAGCAGACTGTTCACCAGCCTACGAGATGAAGCTTGGTAGGTGCGGGAGGGTGGGTGCGGGAGGGTGGGTGTGGCTTAAGCAGTCTCAGCACGTACATAGGGATCTTCTTTCCTCCTAATTCCCTTAACTGCGCAGTCGAAAGTCCTGGGCCTCAAAATCAGCATCAAAATCAGCATCAAAATTTCGAAACTTTTCGAAATTTCTCGAAATCTTTCGAAATTTAAAAGTTTCGAAAAGTTTCGAAGAATTGGAGAGATTTTGTACGGACGAGAAAAGGCCTCCCCAAACGCCAAAATTTCCGCCCAGAACAGGAGCGCGCATCTTAATCGCGGAGATGGCACCAATGCGACGTTCTCCGTACGGTGAGTTACGGAAACCCTTGATACCTAGAGAGACGGGATTAGAAACGCTGCAGAGGTGGAAACAAGCCAGCAGACCTACCATGCCATAGTGTTCCACCAATCGCTTTCAAATATGTCAGTATGTTTTATCAAATCGACCCGAGCCCTGATAGAAGTATGCAAGCGAGAGAGCTGGGTGGGCAGCTTTCGAACCCGGCTCGTGGAAGCTGTCGCAGCTGTCGCAAAGCTTCGGAGGGAAAGGCTCGGGCGAGAAGAGGCGGAAGACTAACCTCCCATGGCAAAAGCACCACCAAAATCTGCGTTGGTCGTTAGCATCACGACATTTAGGTCATGGTGTTGAGGAGGGGCGAACCGTTCAGGATAACCCAAGGGCAGGGGTCGCGCGTGTGATCCATGGCGAATAGGTTTTAACGTTACGTCGTCGGTCGGGAAGGGTTCGTTCGAAGCTGTCGAATCGTCGGTCGAGGCGAGGGAAGCAGTTCGTTCGGTGGTCGTGGAGAATTTGGCGATGCAAAGAGCTTGACGCGGTGCCGAATGCGATGGAATGACGAACACGGACCAAGCTCGGAGTGACAATTTTTTGGGCGCGCGGCAAATCCGCGGTTCAATCTCTTTCCTTATCTTATCGCGGAAATGGACCCGCCTTTTCTAGGGGTCCACCTACTTTTGGGCCATCTCGTCATCGGACGAAAAAGGCAACCTCACTGGACTGCTTCAGTGACAACCTTTGAAAGCTGTAAGTGAGGCGCTTGAGGTTTTGGGTTTTTCAACTGCTGGGTATCCTGGCAATGCCCCCCTCCCGTCTATCCGTTCTTAACCTTGTGCTGCGCACCCACGCTCCCGCTTCCAATGAGTCGTCCATAAATCCCACAATGCCACTCTTCGAGACGAAGGTTATGGGCACAGCGGGGGTTTCACATGCAGAAGGCTCCGTGACCATCTACAAAAGTTTCGGCCACCCTGTTGAATCGACCATGCACACATTTGCCATCTATTCCGTAGGCGCAAAATTTCAATTCTCCGATTTTCTTCATCAACCTCACGTTTCCGATCCAGGATGGCGCGCATTACGGACTTACCACCTGAGATCATAGAATCCATCCTTTGGAGTCTTGACAGTGTTCGCTCACTGATTGCAGCTTTGCGCAGCTGTCGCCGTTTCTATGCATTCGTCCAGCAGAGCGAAAAGATTGCGACAGGAATTCTCAGAAGGAAAATCAGTCCAGCTATCTTGCCCTATGTTGCGGCCTTAGAAGCCTCCTACCTCTGCGACGACTTCCCCGATGTGATTCTGAAACTTATCGAACCCCGCCATGACGACCTAGATGCGCCTTCTGGCGAGTCCGACGAATCCCATTCCGAATCCGAAGTAGACCTTGAAGATTTCGAGGAGCCACTCGACGACATCGAGGGGTCTCTTGACGAATTTGACGACTTCGACACAGAGAGTTCTGATTCCTTCCCTGGCCGCCGCGCCTTCAAGTTCGACTGCTTCCTCGCAGCCCGCAAACTTCTCAAATTGCTCTATGACCAGCCATCCGCCCTCGTCGATATCATATTACCACCAGTCCCGATCTTTGATCTCCATGTTGTGGAGCGCAGATACGACAAGTTCAGTAAAATAGCCACCGACTTCGCTGGGTTTGCTTGGGAACGTTTGAGTGAAGTTGATGGTGGTGTTCCTCAGGAGGTGACTTTGTCATCTGCTGAGCACGACCGTTTTTGCCGGGCCATTTATCGGCTTGAAATCTTCTATGTTCTTTACAATATCATGGAAAGGAACGGGAATACGGTGTACGACTGGTTCTTTTTAAGGCACTCGCCATGGGAGAACGAGCAGATGGCCTGCATATACCATTTTCTTGAGATGAGGTTTACAAGAAGTATGCCACATCCTTATCTTCCACCATCAAATTCGGACAAAGATGCTCACACCTGTCTCAGATACTCATGAAGTATTCGCACATGACGTAGGTTTTGGTAAACGTAAGGTCGACTACTTAAGGCTTTGGACGAAGAATAAGTCTAGGCAGCTGTGGGTCAGTTTTTACAGTCTACAATCTACATCCCGCCGTGCCCTAACTCTATATTCCAGCTCTCTCAAGGAATCGAGTACATTGACGACGTGACAATGCAGCATGACTACGAGTCTAAGAAGCGTATGCTCGAGACGACGGATGGAGTTCATTACGCACACTTCCCTGAAGTTCTGTGCGGCATTGAGCCACAGATGTTCTCCATAGATTATTGGAGGCGCAGTTGGAGAATGACCTTCGCGGACGGTGCTACTATTATCACTACGAAGGAGGGGGTGCTTTCGCGGGTTCTTCGCGAGGAAGATAAGGATCATGACCTGGGTCCTCGTGAGTCTTGGATTGCTGCTAATTTGGGTATGCGGAAATGCGTAAGTCTGTTGATGGATGGCAATGACTGGCTTCGAGAATGTGCCTACCTATTTTGGGACTGGGACCGGGTCAGGAGCTATCAACTGTCCGGTTTGTGGCAACACGCCCCGGTGAGGATGCCTTACACAAAATGTGGTGCAAACATCAAGGAGATGAAGGAATCGTTTGTCGAGCGCTCAAAGATTTGGGATGAGGGAGGTAGGGGCTATTGGAGCAAAGGCGATACTAGCCGTATCGTATGGCCAGAAAGCGAGGCGATGGAACAAGCCTCAGGCTCATAGATGTGCAGCGAAGGTACTTCAGGGATTTTGCTTTTCTGATAGACTGAGAAGGAGTTGGTTCTCGATGTGATACGCAGGAGGCCGACGATCCCGAAAGATACGGTGCTAGAAAGATTTACGTACGCGCTTCTGCCACAAGCTCAGGTTGATGACAACAGTTAGATCGGCCAACAATAGGTGTCAGGAACTTCCAAGCTGAAAACCTGGCGCCCGAGATCGAAATTCGCCGTCATTGGCTGAACTACCTGCAGGAGGCCGACAATTGGCATTCCTCGGCTACCCATTCCACACGTAGCCTGCCTGCCACAACATCGATCAAACCTTGCTCGCCACACGTCGTGACGTCCATATCAAGCCCACCGACCACTGAATCTCTCGCATTATCTCTCCAGGTTCATCTCAAACCCCCCGACTTAACATATCAACTTTAGTATCTGAAGCTCTTGTTGTGGTTTTCGTATCACGTATAAGGTCTCGTCGTGGACATCATGAACCAGAAAATGCGTTCCTCTGATGACTTCTCTACAACATCCACGGTCCTCACCCCTCCTACCAAGTGCAACACTACGGCCAGTCTCTGGAGCGACCGAGGTGCGATTCCCTGGCCAGGAAACACTTATAGAATCATCGAAAAGCACACGAACCGAGCGATCAGTCTCGTCAACGACCTTATTGTCATAAAAGATATGGAAGACATGGCAAAAGTTACCGTAACCCAGTGGCTTTGCGTCGAGAAGAACGGCTACTTTGGTTTCCAACATCCGCCATCGGGGAGGTATATGGGACATGACGGCAACAAAGATCTGCGTGCCAAGGCTACAGAACTCAACAAGTGGGAGCTCTTCACGCCCAGAAAGCACCCAGAGGGAGGCTATCAGCTCCTGTCGCCATACTGGTCTCAAGCTTTGATGGTGCTTTGCGTGGACGAGGATAGGAAGACGGTGGTGAGGAGGAATCACGGGACAACTCTGTGGGAGTTCATCAAAGTCTAGCCAACAATTTAGTCAAAAGGCCATTGGGAGGGTAATAGGCGGCTTGTGTCCTTTCTCGGAAGTGTTCAAGAATGAATTTTACCTGCCTGAAGTGGATTCAAACAAATGCTTCCTGAACACATAAGAGCACCATTTTCGATCGGCTCAAGTGTCACTAAGTGACGAAGTCTTTGCAACTGACTTTACCGGACTCTTTTATACCTATTAAGTCTAGTCATATGACCATTGGCTACTAGGATTGCCTCGCTGTAGACTTCTCTGACCACGATATGCCGCTGGTGTCACCTTTGCTCCAATACCCAGAGCCCCCCATTTGCCAAATCTGTGATCTCTCGTGGAAAGACTCGTTCATTTCTTCGTATTCTCTCTCATCGGGAGACGGTCTCGCATCTGAAAGCTTCGCAAAAGACTTGAGCAGGTGATATTTCTCCACCCGATCACAGTCCCAAAGTACATATGCACAATCTCGAAGTAACTCATGCTCGTGGAGCATCAGGCCAGCATATAATGGTGCACCTTCATGAGCAGCGTACCATGAATTGAAAGGCCCCTGGTCAGGGTCCTCATCGGTCACTCGGCTCACATTTTCGTATAGTAGCTCTTCATCGGGGCCTACGAAGGCGCTGGCGTCTTGATATGCCCCCAGCACGTTGGCTAAAGCTCCAGGAAAGTTTGCCACGCCGATGTCCGGATGCTCTGTGAGCATATCCCTCTTCCCATCGTAGGATTCTTCATTTATCAGTTGATGGATGAATCCAATTCCTTGAGAGAGCTTCATGTAGAGTTGGTTGTCAGCAAAGTACTCCAATGGCGAAGCCGGTCGCGTGTAAGATGTGTACTGACCCACATCTGCCGATAAATATTCTCTTCGCCTCCAGTTAGGTAGTCAACTGAGAACTCGCCGAAGTCGACATCGTGGGCAAGTACATCAATCGATGCTGTGTTTGGTTGTTAGCCATTATCGGTACAAATTGGAGAACTCTACCCATCTCCCTGACTCTCACCTTTCGCAAGTCTTGCTTCGAGGAAATCGTGGATGCAGCCAAGTTGCTCATTTTCCCATAATGAATGTTTCGAAAAGAACCAACTATTAACGTTTTCTTCAAATATCGTGTTTGGGTTGGACGATCTGCCGGTGAACAGCCCGTAGAATATTTGGATGCGATAGAAAGACCTGCAGAAGCGAAATTGCTCTGTAGTTGATAATGAGACGGTCAGAGGCAAGCTGTCGTCGGCCTGCCGAAGACGATTCCATGCATCATTCGCAAAGTCCGTCGTCAAAGCGAGGATCATGTCATGCGTACGGCTCATTTCCATCAACGTAGTCATTGGTAACGATGTCACCCGATTAGCTAGGCTCATTGGTTCTTGATATAGGGCGTAGAGCAAGCCCTGGATTGTGTCGCCATCGCGTGGCCGAGGCAGATTGTAGGCTTCCGAAGCAGCTACTGCGTATGAGAGGAGAGCTGGCGTAACTTTCTGACGTAGGATTGCCGCTGCTATATTCGGGCTCTGCTTGTATGAGGAGTATATATGGCGACAGCTGAGCAGAACTGGTGTGAGCGACCGCAAGTCGTCCAGGTTCCGCAGTATGGAAGCGATCAATTCGCATGGAATGTCGGTAATGAGAGTCATTGTGAGAATGCAGAAGTCTATGGCTTGTGGGAAGAGAGTTACAAGAAGAAATGGAGTAGATAAGGGAGAAACAATTGCGTCGATGACCTGCGGCGAACCAGAAAGGACCCCGCATAATTCTGTCTCCACTTTTGCCGCTGCGCCCATCCCCTAGATGACTGTCACGGCGCTTACAGAAATAGCATGCTCATATTCTATGCTGTTGGTGATGCAGTCTTGGCAATACATGCTATTCTGATTGGTTAGAAATCGATCTATACCACGAGAAAGGGAACATCGAACCAACAAAACTTGAAGATTGCTGCGACCATCTTGGCCAACGTTGCCGCCGAAGAACCTTTCTTCCCTTCTAACTTTTTTCTTCGCAGTTTGCCGCCTGGAGGCGCACCTTGTTGACTGCCGTATGACTCTCACGGGGAAATATTCGAGGGCCAGGATGGCCTGGGCTTCACAGAGAAACCTCTATGGCCACCTATGGGGGTATATGAAGAGAGCGCGAATCGCCTCGATTACAGGGGGCAGGCATCTCCCTCTTCACGCTGCCACAACCCATTACACCAAAATGCCGAAGCAATACTACATTCACTACCTCTGTGACCGCCTCAAGAGCGGTGACAGCCTCACCCAGCTCATCAGAGAAAAAGAGCATGATGTCTGCAAGTTTCGAAGCAAACGCCCTTTCCCTCAGAACCGCAACAAATTCGAAGAAGCATTGTTCTTCTGTCGCCTACTGGCATATGTCATCCTCCGCCGATACGGCCGTAATGATCCATCTCTTCTCAAAATATTCAACGAGTTCGAAGACATCGCCAAAGCATTCGAAAACAACGAGATGACCGACGACCAGTATCGCGAAGTAAACCGGTTGAACCATCCAAAGCAAGACAGCCTGTTGGCGGAACTCAAGGCAGCACTGTAGCTCGATGGAGCAGTAGTTGATGAGGGTGGTTAGACATGTAGGGGGTGGTTGGAGTAAGGGGGACCTCTCATGTATCCCTGGTCATACAAAAATTCACAAAAGAATTCTTCACAAAATGTGCCGCCGAAGAACAGCGTTTACGACCAACAACAAAGACTAAACTTTCCAACAGCTGACAACACCAAACAACCTCGTTCATGAAGAGACCAGCATGAAAAACCTCACCAACATAACCGCTCTCCCCTGGCAATGTTCCTTGGTTACATGTTTCTCGAAGCGCTCAATATTTTTGACACTGCTATGCTGCCCTCAACGTCTCAGTCGAAGCAGTCGCAGCGCTAAACGGCCGAAGCCAGCTTTGAGGCCCAAAGACAGGAATATAGTAATATAGGTTCTTGAAAACTCCAGTAGTATATAATGGTGCATCACATTGTGAAAGGCACCTCTCAATGAACTCCTCATTCAGTCACTGAACTATCACTTTGTATCCTTATCCGCGCACTCTTTTCATTTGTCCATACTCACGCTGCGACGTTGAGCATCCGTCTTTCGGAAGCTTCTATATCTCGTTTTCATCACACACAGTGCTGGTCACTTGTTCAAATTATTACTCAGCCATGTTCAAAAGTCGCAAGGCCAATCCCAACAAGGACTTCAAGCCCGATCCCAAACAAGTAGCTGAGCTGCAGAAAAAGTACACTGGCCTTGAAGACGACCTCTCCTATCGCCAAGGCCATACCATCGGCAACAAATACGAAGCATACAAGAAGGCTGCAGGCAAGGCCGCAACATCAACAACGACTTATAAAGCGACAGCCAAACCATTGGAGAAAAAGACAACGCCTTACGACCCGATTGATCCGGCCTTTGGTCCCGTCATGAACAAGTTCTATACCAGGAACAGTCATCAGATTCTGGAACCTTTGGCAGGTGCTGCAGCTACAGACACAGCATTGTAAGCGATTTCGAGCTTTCTCCTGAAGATTTTATCTAATACCTATGTGGTAGCCATGCAGATCGACGTGAGTCGTTCAACAATCGGTACCAAGACGTCTTGGTAGCCAAAAGTCAGTGGGAGGGCCATGTCAAACAAGCCGCGAATGCTCGCGCGAGCGCACAGAAATGGATCCCAGTTCATGGTCTTCATCACATGTATTCAAATGCCCCATAGAGTTCTCAAACTCGTACCATGGGAACGAAGTATTCATGTGAATGGAAATATTGCCGTCAAGTGGCTTGTTGAACCCTTGTATGACAGATATTGAACTCGTAGTTTTCGATTTGGGATTTGTGCCGTGGATTATCGTGGTCTCCCAGAAATATTTGATAATGCGGATGCTTTTGACATAATTTGCCAATGGCTGCGCGGCGTCTTGGCCATTCCAGCTACTCAAAGACAGAATTCCATTTGCGTCTGAAAAGAATATCTCTCGATTGTTGTGCCGAAGTGTTTG